TACCTATCACTTCTTCCAAACTTTCTCAGAGGTAGATTTTGAGGATTAAATTGGCCAATGCTCTAATACCTTCTTAACTGCAGTTGTCAAAAACAGGCCCTCTCTTGGAGACAGAGTCTGGAGAATTGCTCATTAGCCTGCAGAACAGGTTAACCAGGACCTTCTATTTCCAGAGAGAGAAGAGGGCTTTTGGAATTTGTTTACCCTGATCCCAGTGGAATCGTCAGAAAATCATTAATTACCCCACATCCAACCCTCAAGGGCTCTGCTCAGGGTTGGGCTCACGAGACCGTGCCAGGCCTGGGGACAGGCCTGGTGGCATGGCCGTTTTTCAGTCCATAACATTCTATGGAAGATAGAATGAAGCTCCCTGTGACGATAGCAGCAAGGTTTTGCTAAGGGATAAAGATGGCTAAATAACAAGGCACAAACACTGAATGGCAAATCAAGTTACACGGTATTTAGAGAACAGTGGGAAGCCAAAAAGTTCGTGGTCAAGGTAGCGAAATGATAAAATCAGGGCTTTAGCATGGGACTAACACAGTAGATAAACTGGTACATCAGAGAGTGGGCGATGGGTTTTTGGACTAAGGATGTATTATTATAAGAAAAAAAAAATGAAGGACCACTTACTAGTAAGGAGATTGAAAGAGTAATCAAAAACCTCCCAACAACTAGCCTGGACTTAAAATACTACGCTTTGTCTTTTGTGCCTTGGAAGTATGTCCAAGTTAGTATTCCAGAATAGCAGCCCTGTAGATGTAGCAAGAGACCGCCCCCCACAGCTCATTAACTCCGCCCTACCCAGGAAGACGCAGCTCAGACGTGACATCCCAGGTCCACAGCACTGGGACGAGGCCCGCAGTGTGGTGACACAGGATGAGCACCCCCCTGGGAGGCACAAGACCCATCTCCAGATGAGACCTTCTGCTAACTAGCTGTACAAGTATGGAAAATGGACATTATATTGAGTATTCACAGGCAGCCTACTGAGCAAGAAGGGGCCCAGAACCATCCAAGCCCCCGCCCCTGCCAGTCGAGAGGTGGTCTGGGACCAGATCCTCTCAGGGGCCTTCCTCTCACAGTTCATGCATTTGTGCACCATGTCCGCAGTGAACGGCCAACCGTTGCACTGTTAAGAGACTCGGGATCCTCTGAAAGTCTTCTCCTCACACCAAAGCACTGAATCCTAGAGGGCCGCAGTCGCCCATTGAACGGGCTTGTCCCGGGTCTTCCATCGCACCCAATTTCAGGAGTTCCTCTTGGTGCTCAGGACCTGGGAGTTGAGCTAGGGCCCTTTTTAAATACTGTCACAATGCACGCTTGGGTTGCACATGGTCTCACTTTACACCAATCCGGAGCCTTTCGTGCGAAGCACTTTCTTTTGAGGATGTCTGGTAAAACTTTCCTTAGATGAGAAAACTCCACTATTACAGAATATTCCTTTGACACCTCTCTGTGTTACCAGCCAACGTGGCCAGCTGATAGCTCCGTAACGGTCAGTAATAATTCAGTATTAATTATGCTTCACTCTTCTGGCCAATGGTCGTCCGCCTCAAACCTCCCTGACCCGTCAGGTACCCAAGGCCCCTCCCCTGGAATTCAGCACAAGTCTCCTCGCCTAGGGATGCGTGGAAATAACAGTGATGACGGGACAGTTCCTTATGCTCGTTCTTCCACAGGAAAGTGACTGCAGCCTGTGGATCAAGGGCAACATTGTATCGTCTTTCTTTTCCTGTTCAGCCCCTCACCCTCAGCCCGTTCCTCGTGAAGCAACAGCACTCGTTTTATCTGGTCTTGTTAATCTCTGGCTGAAAAAGGAAATTTTCCTACATGACTGATGTTTGGAGGGTAAACCTGGAGTTTTTGCCTGACGGGAATAAATAAAAAGACAAATTGTAGGTGCTTCAGTTGCCACAGCAGGGACTCCTATCATGCCATCAGCTTTCACGTCCCCAAATGTGCAAACTGCCTGGAAGACCAAGGTAATTGAAAGTTGTGCATATACCTCTGGTTTCTCAGATATTAATGGAAATTGCCTCCTACTGTGGTTGCTTTCTGGCTCAGTGTTCTGAATGGGAAACAGGTCATTGCATTCCTAGCACAAGTAGTGAATACACTTTAACTAGTTCATCAAGGAGGAAAAATCTCAGTGGTCTGGTACATAATAGGACTGTGGGCACTCAATTCTGCTTATCCTATACCAAGGATGGCCCCATCTCTCTCATTCTCTCTCCCCCCACTTCTTCTCATTTCTCTTCTCTTGATTCCCCTCTCCTCCCCTCCTCCCTTTACTACTTCAGAGAGAGTAGTAGAACACACATTTCATCTTATACCCAGAGTATGTAACATCTTAGTTTATTTTCAAGTTCATGATGACCACCTCCACTAGGTATTACACTTGTCTTACATATAATCCAAATGCTTATGATGAGTTAGCGGGTGTGTGAGTTTGTGGCTATAAGAAATTTTGGTGGCACAGAAAGTATAGAACCAATAATAAATTGTGGGGTTCAAATATTTTTATTAATAGACCTCTTTATCTTAACCAAAAGGCAAAGTGATTGATGATTTTCTGTGCAGATACACAGTAAGCTGTTGCAGGGAATGCTGGGTCAACCAGCTGCCCAGCCCCTGCAGTGGCCACTTAACAACAGGATGGGCTTACAGTTGCCACATGAAGCTGAGATTAGCCATGACCTGCCCAGTGGACCAGGGGACCCTCACTCAAACGAGCTACCTCGTCTAGCTGGTCCCTGGGTAGAGTTCCCGGGGTTGCTTGTCAGATACTCCTGCTGGCTACTCGGCACTCCCCACGTACCCCACCTGAATACCAAGAACCTTCCCTCTGTTTCAAGGGGATTGCAGGTGTCTTGGACTGCGGAGGGTGGGGGGAAAGGTTACCTACAGAACCGTTGGGAGGGGCTCACTAAATTTCAGGGCATCGATAGCAGCCCTTCCGTTGGTCAGTGATCAGGAAACGTGTTACATGTCACAGGAGGGCTCTGGCCAATGCAATTAGGAGATATTCTGAAGCAGCTTCTCTGCCCAGGTGACCTACAGGGGCCACTTCAATTGTGAGCGATGACCTGAGGGACGTGGCTTGGCTCCCCCTTCTCTCGGAAGTTAATGATGAATAATGCACCAGACAACCTCCTCTTCTCCCTCTGTCCCTCCCCACCCAAGGTCCAGATGACTTTAATCTGAGCACTTTCTGCCTCCTCCCCCACGGCGCTGCCCCAGCCTCACCAGCTGGCCTGAGGCAGAGGGACGGGGCAGCAGGGAAATTCTCACACTCCCTCGATTCTCTTTGCAATCAATTTTCGTGGCAGAAACTGTCCTTCTCGCTTTCCTCAAAGCCCTCTCTTTAGTTATTTAAGACCTTATTTTGGAAGTCTCAAACATTTTTAAAGATTTAACGTTGAAAGTTACTTCCTCCTTGCAGGCCCACTGTAACAAATCTAATTCTCTTACAGACAATTGTGAATGTCTCTGTCTAACTAGAAGAAAGGCCAAGCAGAAGAATGTTCAAAAAAGGCACAAAATTACGTATTTCAAGACAACATCTTTCTACAGCCTCATTCACTGCTCCCCCTGTCTCCAACGGCTGGCTGTGAACCCCGTGCTTCTCCTTCACTATCTCCGTGAAACTTCTTTCTCAAACTTTAACTGTCCAATCTGCTGGGGGTAGGGGGGTTTCCAGGCCTCTTTCTCCTATAGCATTTCACAGTGCTGACCATGTGCTGTGCCTCAGTCAGGAAGGGGGTGGTGGTACAGCAGTAGGCACCTACCTCCACATGAGGTTAAGGCTGGGAGGAGACTGAGCTATCTCCTTCCAAGTATGTTACTGGTCCAACCCTTTGTTTTGAGATCTGCATCTCAAGGCGTTTTCAAATCTATCCTCCACCCAGGGTATAAATTAGCTCCATAATAAATTCTCACAAACACCATTGGCCTCAGTTAAACATTTCTGAATATTCTTGTTTTTAATCAATTTGACCTTACCTCTTTGAAACTTCCACATATTATATTTGAAACGTCACTCAAGGGACAATTTGGTAGGTAACGCTTGACCTAGGTGAGACATGGGTCCAGCCATGTGGAAAATAGTATGGAGGCTCCCCCCAAAAAACTATAAGTAAAACTACCATCTGACCCAGCAGTCCCCCACCTCGGGGGATATAGCCAAAGGAACGGAAATCGTAACCGTGAAGAGCGGCAGGCAGCCCCATGACCGCCGTCGCGTTATTCCCCAGCCAAGACATGGCAACACCCTAAGAGTTCAACCAGGGATAAGCGGAAAGAGAAGATGTGATGTAGATGTGCAGGGGAATGCTATGCAGCCTTTTTTAGAAAAGGAGAAAACCCTGCCACTTGTGACAATATGGGTAGACTAGGAGGGTATTACTCTAAGTGACATCAGCCAGACAAAATTATGACATACTGTATGATCTCACTTACATGTGGCATCTAAAACAGTCAAGCCCATAGAAGCAGAAATTAGAATGGTGGTTGCCAGGAGCTAAGGAGAGGCAGCAACGGGGAGCTGATGGCCCAAGGGTACCGAGCTGCAGTGATGTTGGGTGGGTATGTCCTAGAGACCCACCATACAACACAGCTAGAGCCACGGGCAAGCTACAGCGCCTCTTGCTAGCAACACTGTAACAGATGCTTAAGATTTTCTAAGAAGAAAGATCTTATGTTGTATTACAATAACAATAATAATAATGGGAGTGGGAGGAAACTTTGGGAAGTGATGGATATATTTACAGCTTTGATGGAAGTATACTTATTCCCAAACTCATCAAGTTGTTAGTATACATTACATGTGCACAGCTTTTCTACCTTGATATGTCAATCATACCTCAATAAAGCAGCTTAAAAAATAAAAATATACTTTAAAAGAACACATTAACTATTCTTCATGGAAAGACTCTTTAAAATTAAACAGAATGCAGATCAAAAAATTCCAAAGGATAGTATCTTTAATGAGTGTTTTAATCATTGTCATATTAACGAAAGCTTTGTTGAAATGTATTCATCAGTATCAGAAAAATACAGAGATAGTATTTGTATATACAAGCATATTTTAAGTTTCATTTAAGCTCACTCACTGCATCTCCCACAGCTGTTTTCTTTTTGTTTTGTTTTGATGAAGAATGAATAAGGGCTAAACTGAATGCCAATGCTTCCCATCGATCCACCTCCATCGCCCCTGAAAAATCTGGTGTGTGTCTGCATCAGAGAACACGGATCTCTCTGACGTGCAAGCTTGCCGCAGTCAGGCGTGAACGTTCCTGCTGCAGAAAAGGGTGTGGAGCAAACTGGAGGTCTTGGGTTTGACACCCACTAAATAAAAAAAGCCCCCAAGGGAAGACTGAATCATGTGTGTTCTCAGACAAAAAGGCAGAAGGTGCCCGTGACCAAGACATGGAACATTCGGCTCTGACAAGTCAGCGTCTCCATCTCCTGGCAAGACGAGCAGCCCGCCCTGCCGTGCGGCTCAGGGTGGAGGATGAGGGTCCTTCCTGGGATGGAGTAATTGCACCTGTCCTTCTCCATTCAGGGTCCCCTTCGTGTTTGGGTTCACTGAGCAGGGGGCTGCCCCTCTGACCTTTCTGTTTCCTGATCCAGCTGCGGAGGGTGTTCTGGCCCCCGGGACGGTCACCCAGTGAAGGCCCATGGGGCTAAAGGGAGCATTTGAGCTTCTCTGGTCTAACCCGCTAATTTTCCGATTAAGCCAAAGTCCAGGGAAGTGAGCAATTTCTCCAAGAACACAGCTGACTCAGGCAGAAACTCATGACCATTCTTCAGCCTGACTGATATTGTTTTAAAAAAGGAAAAAGAGTATCTGATGAAGGGCTGGCTTATGTGGGCAGCTGGGGGCTGAGGAAGCAGGGGAGGAAAAAGAGCGTGCCTCCCGCTGGGGACACTGCAGCCTCAGTTATGCATGAGGACGTTTCCACAGGCCACAGGCCACAGCCGTTGCTGGATTCCGAGCAAGCCGCTAGCAGCCGGGAGCCTACTGGGCGTCCCCCTCACAGGGCTCTATGCTGGTGACCGAGACACTCTGCCCTCGACACCTCAGGGCGCCAGCCTCACACTCCGTGAGCGTCCGCTGCTCGCCGTTCACCTCCGCGCAGACGCTGATGCCTTCTTCCTCGCACTCCGAGGCCTCTCTGCAGACACACTTGCTGTCCTGGGCTGCAAACGCAAGTGAGGGGGCTCACTGGCACAGGTGGCGATGGCAGAGGCAAGGCCCTTTACCTCCCTCCAAAGTCACCACGTGGTGGTGAGCGACCCAGAGGAGCTCCTGCCTCTGGGGATGGAATCCCCCCCCTCCCGCCCCCACCCCGCTGCCCAGGCAAGCAGGGGACCAGGGAAGCCAGGCATTCTGCTCCACTCAGAATTAGCAGGTTTGGAAACCGGTGCCCTGCTCCCTACTGTTGTTTGGACCACAGTGGTCAAGAGCAGTCCGGCTCTCCTCCGCCAGGCTGCTGTCCCCGTGAGTCGGAGCCCGCGTGGGGCCTGCCAACCCCCGACCACATGAGGAGACCTCGGCAAAGAGCTGAGGGCCGAGGGTCAAAGAGAGACAAAGAACCAAAGAATTCAATTTGCTTCGAGAGAAAGGGCATGAAACACCAAAGGCTGCATGTCCCAAAAAACAAAACAAAACAAAATGTCAGAAATAAGCTGTGCAATTGTGTGTACTGAAGTTTCGGGGCTGGAATACACCAGCCAGGTGTCTCCAGGAAGAGAGTGACAAGGGCAGCCGGTCACTTGTGGTGACTGCTGAAACCAAAGGGTCCCAGACACAGCTGCAGTTACGAATGCCATCGTCTGCACTGCAGAGAGACGGAGAAACCAAGGGCAGTGACCCAGCCCGCCCCGCTTGGGGGTGCAGCTGACACCAAGGGAGGCGGGCCATGCCCGTGGTGGTGGTCAAGGTCATCGTAAGTGCCACTTGGACACAGCGCTAGAAATACTGAATGACAGCTCCAGGAAGTGGCGGCTCTCTGTGTTCCCTTCAGGTCCTCAGCTCCCTCTAGGAGAGTGTCAGTGCGGCACTGCGTGTGCCACTCCCCAGCCCCACACCCCTCGCCCCGAGGAAACAGCCCCCTCATACTCCCGCAGCAGCTGGCTCGAGCCTACCCCTCGTCTTGTTCCAATACGTGTATTTTGATAGTTCCCTCATATTTACGGCAAGTGAGACTTCCTTTTAAGAAAATGATATAAAGTTTCTTTTTGAAAAAATAGTTATTATGGGTCTATTTCTTATGAAATTGAGATTTTTACTGACATGCAGGTGTGCTTCAGAGTTATATGTATCCAAGACGGTTCTATAAACAATAGAATACTTCTAGCATGAGGTCACAAGATGTCAAAAATAGTACAACACAATGAATACAGCTACGTCTTCCACAGCCCCAACTACAGAGAGGAGGAATAGGCAGCAACCAAGTCTGGAGGGAACCGTGCTTTCGGGTGGCCTTCCCAGGTGGCCAGAAGCCCAGAGCACCCCCCAGGAGGAGGGCGTGGGGCCAGTCCGTGCCACGGAGACAGCTGCCCTGGACACCAGGCCCTGTTCCCCCAGCTTCGCCTCTTCTGGGCCTCCTGGCCTGGCGGCCAGCACCAGCTATAGCTTCCACCCACACTGCCCCACTCAGTCCTCACTGGTCACCCCTCGTCAGCAGACTGGATGGACAACAGGCCTCTGTCTTTGCGCAGAAGCCACGGACACGCTCCCTGTGTGGTTTCTGTCCGGATCAAGCTTGTCTATGGCCAGCAAGGACCTCAAGGCTAGGGCCCTGCAGCCATGCCTCGCATGCGCTCAGGGCTGTCCAGCAACCTGTAGAATGGGCCGGAGACTCACCATGGGAAGGCGTATTTTCTTCTGGAAATGGCCCATGAGAAGTGACCAGGGGCCTGAAAGGCCATGAGATTTTTGAAGGCACCTGGACTCAGCAAGGCCTGGGAAGGAGAGACCAGTGGCCTTGCGAGCTGCTTGTCATGATGTAGCTTGGCTGGTCTGGATTCTCCACAGGTGCCAATGGCCTCACGTGACTCTAGAGAGGGTGCTGTGGCTCTTGTGCCTAAGCAGACCCGGGGGCTGGGAAACCACGGGAGAGGCCATTTGTGGAAGGGCCCGCGTGAGCTCTAAGGGATGGGGGTAGGGGGGTGTTAGCACCACAGTTGCTGACCCAGCCCCGCCCCCTGAAGGTACTGCACGTGATAGGGAGTCCAGAGCCTAGGAGTGGCCTGTACCGTGGATACCAGCCGCTGACCAGATTCTTGCTCAAAGCAGAAGAGAACTGGTCAAATTCAGGCCAGGACTCAGCCCCCGACCCAGACATGGCCCAGGGACGGGGAAGGCTCTCTGCCGGCGTGAGGGCTCAGTGGACTTGCCAAGGTGCGGATAGAGCTCCCTGGCACAAGTGGTTCAGGCCTGAGCCCTTGCCCCTAGGCCGGCTGGTTGCGCTGCGAGGTAGAGCACCCCTAGTCAGCACCCTGCACAGGGACACAAGGGCACAGCTGCCCGGGTGCCGGAGGGCGTGGGGAGAGGGCTGTTCTGCCCCGGTTTTCCCCTCTTGGAAAAGCCAAAGCTCCAAGTACACGATATGGATGACACGAGGACAGGGCAAAAATCACGAAGGCAGATCGGGGCTCCCTGAGGTTTGAGAGGACACTCATGCCGGAGCGGGCGGTCCTTGGCCCCCAGGTCCTTGACCCAGCCTGCTTCCCAGGTCACTCTCGGGCCAGTCGGAGCCTTTGACATCCTCGGTGCCTGCTCGGCTCTGCTGCTGAACCAGAAAACTATGTTTCCCTAAACCTCAGCACTATTGCTTTAGCAGTTTTGCAGTTTCCAATAAAAAATTCCCTTTTCTCTCTTCGGCGGCACAGATCCTAACATAAGAACGATGCAGAGATGAGCGCGGCCCCTGCACAAGGGTGACACGCAAATTCGTGACGCATTCCACGTTGTTGTTTTTTTTTTTTAATAAGAGAAAAGAAAAAGAAACGTCCCTTACCGTCACATTTTTCCCACAGGGGACACGCGTCGCAAGCTTTCTCGGCGGAGGGGGGCCGGGCGCAGGTGTCCCCGCCCACGAGCGTGAACCGGAGGCCTTGGCAGCGCAGGGCGTGCAGCTTACACACCGTCAGGGGCAGCACGCGCCCCCTTCTCTCGTCCCGCGCGCACACATCCAGGGACGGCCTGGAATGAGCGTTTTTAATCACGTTATTTACAACACGTTCATTCTTTAAAGGATGAGGGTCAGAAGCGACAGGCAAGGCCCTGCGCTCAGGGTCTCAGGTGCTATGATCACAGAAAAAAGTTGGAACAGACACTCGCGCCCCCTTCATCTCGAGGGCCCAACCCCCGGCAGGGGTGCCTAACGTTTGGGCATCTCTGGGCCACGCTGGGCAAAGAGTCATCTTGCCACACGTTGAATACACTGTCACACGCAATCAGAAAGTAATCTCGTAATGTTTTAACTAAATTTACGATTTTGTGTTGGGACTGCATTGGTAGCCATCCTGGGCCGCAGGCAGCCCGCCGGCCGTGGTTGGACACCCCTCTAAATGCATGTGTTTTGCTCTCGATTTGCTCATGATGTCTAGGAGCTGAGAGAGCTAGTGTCGATCTAGTGTCATCAAGAACAGAACAGATGCAGCAAATTGGAAAAGAGGGCGAGATGTGCTAGGGAGAGCAGGTGGGCTAACGACAGGACAGGGACAGAAAGTACGCAGAAATCCGGCACTCAGAGCTGCGGTCACGTGGGGCCACCGACTGCAGGACACACGTGCCCTCCCAACCCAGCGATTGGTGACTGACGTGAAACTATGACTGAAGGTGAAGCTTTGCTTCAATGCCATGTTTTTTTGTCTACATTTACGAAGTACTTTAGAAATATTTCCATAAAAAATGATTCCTTTTTTTCTTACGCACTGGTGCCAAAATGATGAGATCCAGCTTTTTAGAAATGTCACTGATAAAGCAACTACATTTCTGAACGCTGATGGATAAGGAAGGCATCACCGTAGGGAAAGCTTAGACAACAAAGTATTATTGTACAGCAGACAATGTCTATCTCTACTTGTGTATATATTTAGCTCTAATGTTTTCTTCTCTGACTAAGTGCTAAATTTACTTGGAGTTACTTATGCAATGAAAACAAATCCTTATATGTCTGTTTTTTCTGCTTATTTAAATATAACCACTTGAAACAGCTTAAAAGCCAGAGAATTGACCAGGCCACCTTGTTGCCAGGATCTGATATGTAAACTCACATGCATGGGGTCTATAAACAGCAGGCAGCAGGTCAACTGAATGAATCGGGGAAGTCGGAAGGACAATGAAAGGGAATCAAAGCAAATAATGGTTAAGAGGAAATAACGGCAGTCAGAATGTTGAGGCCAAACACCATTGCCATTCATGCTGTTTTGTTGAATTCTCCTTCCCACAAGGAGTCCCTCCTGGTCAGACACTCCCACAATCGCCGCTCCCCACTGCAGGTGTTTATGGAGCTGGGTGTGTACTTCGATGATAATAATAATTGAAAGCCAAGTGATTGGCCAGTAAATTTGTGTCGCGATTAAGTCCAGGGCATAGATATATTTTTCCCACTTGCCTCTCGGGGGCCTCTCCCTCTCCCCCACCCCCCTGCTTGGCAGGCTGCTGCATCTCACACTTCGACAGACCTCCTTGTTCTCTAGCTCTGGGGTCATTTGATCAGTGGGAGCAATAGTAGGAGACTGGAAGGGGAGGGGAGTGCAGGTCAGGGGCTTATTTCCCCAGGTCCCTCCTCAGCTGCTGTCTCCACCTCTCCCTGTCTTTAGGTTTTTATAAGTGCTCCTGTCTTGCTCCATCAGGCGTGGGCATGGATATGTGCTTGCGCTGTGACCCGTCCAGGACACCTGTCTGTCCTTTACTTCCCCACACTCCAGTTAACAGTCCCACTTGTCACTCTCCTCTGTCTGTCTTAATTTAATCGTGCTGTCTGTACCCAGCTAGGACCATGACAGGGACACCTAGGAACTCCCTCAGGTCTCCTTCTACAATGAACTTGTCTCCAGCTGGGTGGCATCTTGTAAAGCAACCTAGAGACAGACGTTTCCGGGATCAGAAACCCACTGCTTCTCTCACTGTGGGCACTGCTTCCTGTCTCAGGAGGCTTTCAGCCCTAATCCTCTCAAGCTCTAAATCCTCAGGTGGCAGCGTTGTCCTTTTGCGCCATTTTACATGGAGGACAGGCAGTGCTCCAGTAGTCCGGTAGCCTCTCCTAGCCAGGTTGGATGCCTACAGTGGTCAGCCTGGTGAGCCAGGCAAACAGCTGCCCGCAGATAGAGCAGATTAAAAACCACAGATCCTTAATTCTTGGTGAGCAGCATCTTGGATCCAACAGAGACTCGCACCTAAAGAACCCTTTTATTTTTCTTGAGTAAAATGGAACAGAGAAGTGAGCCAAGACAGGCCTTACCGACATTCATTGGGCAATTTGCACACACATCTTGAATTCCTCACTTTCTCCCAGGGCTGGCATTTAGGCACTGCCGGTTTCAGAGGGACATCTAAGAAGCAAGAGATACAGGAGGTGCAGTCATCGGGAGAAGAGCTTCTTTGTGGCCAAGAACATACTGTTTACATTGTTGAACCTGGCTGGCTCTGCAATAGTCTCAACTGCAACAAGTGTGTACAGTAAAAATATAAAGTGCTGGAAAGCATTTTACAAGAGATAGAGCATTCTTCAGAGCACCCTAAAAATAATGTCATTGGTCATGGTTGCTACCTTTATGGGAGCATTTTCTATCAGCTATGCATTCTTTATACATTGTCATACTTAACCCTCCTTAACAAATGTCCATTTAAAAGATGAGGAAAGTAAAGAACGGAAAAGTTAGGCAGTTGGTGCCAGGTCACACATATACAGAGTGGCCAAGCCAGGATTCAAGTCCACGTCTGTCTGAATCCAAGGCTGGTAGAGCAGGCTCCCTTGTATCAAGAAGCTGGTGTCTAGTGTTCGCTTTGGCAGTGCGTATGCTAAAATTGGAATGATACAAAGGAGATTAGCCTGAGTGCTGCGCAAAAATGACACACAAATCTATCACAGATGCAGACAACAGGAGGGGGCTAGACTTTGGGCAGTGAGCAAGCAGTAAATTATACAGATGTTGTATTATAAAGTTGCACACCTGAAGTTAACAAAATCCTATCAACCGATGTTACTCCAATAAATTTAATTTTTTTTTAAAGTTGGTGTTTGTGTGGATGGCATCTTGCCCACTGTACCTTTAATGGAACAGAAAACAGAAGTATAACTTGACTTACACATGGAGAATTCCCTGAAATCCCCAAGCTCTCACATGTAATGTCTAAGCAGTCTCTCTTCAACAATGAGTAAATGTTTGGAGGTATTTACGTTAATAAAATCCTTTCCATTGTTTTATGTTTTCTACAAATTGACCAAAAGTTAACCATCATTCCAATTTTGACAGGAAAACACGTTGGTCCAGATTATGAGAGCATAATTTGACCTGCATTGCTTTGGCTTTACTGGCTACAATGTGAATACCCATATTTTGCTGTGCATGATGCACACGTTTTTGTCCAAATTTTTGAAGGAAAAATAAGGATGAGCATTATACATGGGTAGTACTAATTCCACATCTATGTAAATGTTTTTAATTATTTGATTTATGTTTATGCATTAAAAATATAACCCTAGAAAGCAATAATAATATCCGTATGCAAAATAACACCCTGGAATACAATAATCAGTTTCGTTTCTAAATATAAATAAATAAATAATTGAATTAAAAACTTTAAACAAAATATTTTTTTCCCCTGAAAGTTTGGGCCAAAAACGTGGGTGCACATTATACATGACAAAATACAGTAATTACAACACTCCGCTATTCCCTCCTCCTGCCAGCTTCTTTACAATGGAATTTAGTGCATTATAAAACCAGTTACCTGTTGAAGAATATATCTATAAAGCAGTAAAAAAAGGGCTGAAGAGCATGTTTCCATGAATGCACAAACTATGAAATACTTCCTAACTTTGGAAAACTTAAGAGCTTTTAAACATGACAGGAAAATCTTGTGAACGAGCCATAAACTTGTAGAACTAGTAGCAACGTGAAGTACACCTGCCACGACCCACAGCGTCTGTAACAAGTGTTCCTTCTTTAAACACTTCCCTTTAAGCGGTGTTATCCTGAATACTATGTAGTATCTTGAATTGTATCCCAGACCATAAAAAGGATATTAGTGGGAAAATTGGTAATATAAGAACAAAGTCTGCAGGTTAGTGAATAGTATTGTAATAATACTCATGTCTTAGTTTTGACCAACTAAATTATGTTGTTATGTGAAATGTTAACGTTATGGAAAGGCAGGTAAAAGGTAAATAGAAAATATATTTTCAATTTTTCTGAAACCTAAAATTGTTTCAGAAAAATTGAAACAATTATAAAATTAAGTATATATATATACATATACACATACTTAATGGTATTATCTAGGTCAGTGCTTCTCAACCCAGGGCAATTTGTCACTAGGGGGCGCTACTGACATCTAGCAGGTGGAAATCAGGATGCTGTTAAATTTCTTACAATGCATAGCCGACTCTTCCACAACAAAGAATTATTAGGCCCAAAATTCCAACAGCGCTGGCATTGAGAAAATGTCATCTAAAATGTACCAAATCTAGAGTTCAATGCTAAAGCCATGGATGTTATTTCTGCATTATGATTAGAACTTCATTTGCTAATCATTCTTAAAGATGAAATTTTAGATTTTAAATACTTGCTAAAAGTTATTATAATTTGTGAAAATTACCTGGAGAATTACCTAGACCAAAAACTTTTGCATTTAAAAAGAGCATAACTTTGCTTTCTTCATAACTCCATTAACCAAATAAACACGCAATTAGGGCCCACGTAGAGTGCGTACCTTTACTATTTTAAAACCAAATTACCTTCTCATCAAGACTAAACAGTAATTGGGTGGAAAATATGGGTTTGGTGTTTACCAAGGACAGAGTTTCAGTGTGGGAGGTCATCCCGAAGCTCTGGACATGGACCCTGCTGATGGTCACACAACAATGTGCGTGTTCCTAACGCCACTGGACTGTACGTTTAAAACGGTCCAGGTGGCAAATTTTATGTTATGTATATTTTACCACAATAAAAAAGACTACATATTGATACAGCAGGTATTTTAAAACATTAACTTTGGAGGCTGACAAACCTGAATTTTTGTTCATTAGAGGCTTATTTTAAGAGTGGTTATTATTATCTACATCTTCTGAAAACGTGCAGGTCCGAAAAACATTCTTAATTAAAACTGAAATAGCATTTGCTACTAAGTGGGAGGAATGTCATACCAAATTGTGCTAGAAAACAGTTGATGCAAACAGTTTGGAAAGACGAGCACATTATTCCTTGAGAATTCAAGAGCAACCTCATCAATTGCACATTGCTCTCTTTCCCTGCAGAATTACTGGCGCAGGTCCATTCCTGAAAATATGCAAGTAAATTGCGAATATGCAAATAAATGTGCATTTGTGCTTCCGTGAATGCAGAGAAAAAGCAACCATCCCTGCCAGGGCCTCAGACACGGTGCTGGCCATTCCATGGGATGGGCTGCCCTCCTCCTGCATTGCCTGCATTGCCTGCATTCCCTGCATTCCCCTTCCCGCCGCAGCCGTGGCAGCATCGGTCACAGGGAGCCTCTGCAGCCTGCTTTTTGCAGCTGTGCCATCTAACTCACCTAAGAGTACCACTCACGGAATGTAGTACTTCATTCCCACTAGAAAAGACAAGTTTCAGCACCAAATTCAAAATCATAGCCTAGGGAAATAAGAATACCATATAAAAATGGAATGCAGGAGAGTTTTTCTTTCTTTCCTCTTTTGAATTATTTCAAACATTTTTTAGTTATTTAAAAACTATAAACAGCCCTGGCTGGTGTGACAGTGGGTTGAGTACTGGCCGGCGAACCAAAGGGTCACCGGTTCGATTCCCAGTCAGAGCACATGCCTGGTCCCCAGGAAGGGGCATGCGAGAGGCAACCACATTGATGTACCTCTCCCTCTCTTTCTCCCTCCCTTCCCCTCTGTCTAAAAATAAATAAAATCTTTAATAAATAAATAAATAATGTAAACAAAGAAGAAATTAGAGGTTATTTTAAAAAACAAATCCATTTCATCTTAAATATCTCTGAAAAAGAAATGATTTGGCTTTCCAAATCTTTTTCCACCATTAGTTCTAAAATGCCATTTTAATTTGCTTAATGTTCAAAAATACTAGATTTTTGGGTTTATGCTATTCATAACAACTTTACAAAGCGTAGCACTTTTCCTTCAATACTTCCACTTTGCAGTGTGAAATGTAAATGCTTTTAAAATTTTAATTTCAATAATGCTAATAAACTCTCTGAAAGCCCATAAATAAAACATACAGAACTTTATATAATTATTATCTCAGTTTTGTACTTAATAAAAGTATATTTAAAATCAAGAGAAAACCAGAAATTAGCTTTTAAAAATCCTTTTCCTTGGCACTGTAATATAAAACTAATCTTTGATATTAAAGATTTCAGTCAAAATTTAAGAATCACCAGGGCTATTTTTGCCTTCCTTTCACCCCGTGAGTCTACGTGTGCCATGTAACAAAGCTTGTTATTCGGTCTATGCACGGACCTCCTTCTCACAGAGGGACAGGGATGGAGGCGAGGACTCAACAGTTACAGTGACTCAGGGCCAGCAAGGACGGCTCCCAGGGCTACCCCTCTCCTGAGGGCAGGTGTCCTCAGACAGACGTGGGCTGCTCACCTTTACGCACACAATGGACATCCTTTATCACAGGACTCCACTTAAGGCTGGATCCGCAGAGAAATGTCGAAGGACCTTCTAAGGACATGCCATCTGAACAGGAAAAGGTCACCTTATCGCCAATTGCATAGGAGGCTTTCTGGGGGTGACTCTGAATGCCATCCATCAGTGTGGGAAGAATACAGGCCACTTCTAAAGATAAAAAAAAAAAAAAAAAGAGCAGAGCGCAAGGGTCATTGCTTTCTTGCACCACCTTTTTAAAAATACGACAGTCTTGAATGTCACTGACAGACTTGCTCTGCTCTTTCACATTAGAAGACAAGAGATGTCCCACTGCGCCCCACATAAAATTGACCAGTGAATGTGTGAAGACCAAAAGAGTTCCTACCCTCCAAGCAATGTGACAGCTTAAAATAAATTAGATCATAAAGAGTCCTACAGTCTGGCCTGCAGTCAAAACCAGACTTTTCATAGCTGCCACTTACCTCTCTGGTCTGGTTAAGTCCCACTAGAATTTTTCCAAGAACTGTGTTCATTTGTGTGTCATTAGCATGTCTTGAACTGGATATTTTACTATCTGAAATTTTTGAAGAACTGCCTTTAACCTTGCAGCCATAAAAGTGTGAAATATTATTTAGTTTCTCATCTCTTCTTTCTTGTTTAACTAGTTTATTAGTTCAAATTTTCTACTTGAATAAAGAGCAAAGAGAAAAATGAGAAGCACGCATAGTGATGGAAAGCAAGTCAGAATGCACAATTTAAAAAACCAACCTTGATAATCTCTCTAACGGACAATAGTCTACAAAACACAGCTCTACTTCTGCAGCAGGAAATCCATGTATTCATTCTTTCAAAACAGCACTTACTGAGTGCCTCTGCTTTGTCAAGTGTGTTGTGTGCTGCTGGGGTTACAAGATACAAGTCAAGTTTTGAAGGTCCAAGCTCCAGAGAGAAAGGAAGTCTAAAGTGGTAATGACAACATTCGGTAATGCCCTTGTCCTTGAAGTATTTGCAAATTTGGTGGTAGAAGAGAGTGGGGCAATGTGGAAATGCTGCTAAACTGAAGAGAAGTATTCGACTTAAAGGCTCAAAAGTTGAGTGGAATGTTAGGCAGTCTCACAGGGCTAGGATTATAAAATTAGAGTCCAGTCCTGTTGAAAAGAAGGGGCCTAGGTAAACTGGGGCTCAAATCAATGATTCGGAACAGAAGGAAGAAATAAACAATCAAAAAAGTGAGTAGAGGCTTAGGAACCTCTGGGACAACTTTAAATGTTCCAACATCCAAATCATAGGCATGCCAGAAGGAGAAGAGGAAGACCAAGAAATTGAAAACTTGTTTGAAAAAATAATGAAGGAAAACTTCCCCAATCTGAAAAGGAAATAGATTTCTAGAAAGTCCAGGAAGCTCAGCAAGTCCCAAAGAAATTGGACCCAAGGAGGAACACAGGACACATCATAATTAAATTATCCAAGATTAAAGATAAGGAGAGAATCTTAAAAGCAGTAAGAGAAAAGGACAGAGTTACCTACAAAAGGAGTTCCCATAAGACTACCAGCTGATTTCTCAGAAGAAACCCTGCAGGCAAGAAGGGGCTGGAAAGAAGTATTCAAAGTCATGAAAAGCAAGGACCTACATCCAAGATTACTCCATTCAGCAAAGCTATCATTTAGAATGGAAGGGCAGATAAAGTGCTTCCCAGATAAGTAAAGCTAAAGAAATTCATCATCACGAAGCTCTTATATGAAATGTTAAAGGCACTTATCTAAGAAAAAAGATGAAAACTATGAACAGTGAAATGACAACGAACGCACAACTATCAACAACTGAACTTTAAAAAAAGATCAAAAACAAAAACACACTAAGTAAACAACTGTAACAGGAACAGAATCACAGAAATGGAAATCACATGGAGGGTTATCAGTGGGAAGGGGAAGGGGGAAAAAGGGGGAAAAGGTACGGGGAATAAGAAGCATAATTGGTAGGTATAAAATAGAAAGGAGAGGTTAAGAACAGTATAGAAAATGGAGAAGCCAAAGAACTTCTATGTATGATCCATGGATGTGAACTAAGGGGGGTACTGCTGGTGGGAGGGGGTATACAGGGTGGAGGGGGATAGAGGGGAGAAAAAATGGGACAACTGTAATAGCAGAATCAATAAAATATACTTAAAAATTAAAAAATTTTAAAAATTTTAAAAGAAAGGACTTCAATAAAAAAACCTATTACAATTCAGTTGGGGTCCATTTATGGCCATACACTAGGAATAAAGGCAAACCAGCTGTAGACCAGCCTTACCGCCGCTCAGAAACAAAACAAATCTTCCCTCGAGGAGGATAACATCACCCAGAGCCTCAAATTATTTCTTCAACTTTTCACACATAAAGTCTGGCATTCAATCAAAACTAACCTAACAGTCAAAAAAGATAAGAATTGACCAAAGTAAAATACAAAGACTATAGAAGCAGATCCAGATAATGGGATGAACAGACATGGACCTCGAAATAACTGTGATTAACATGTTGGGAAAAAAATAAATGACACGATGGAGAATTTCAACAGAGAACCAGAAAGTACAGAAAAGCAGACAAATAGAATATCTGGAGTTGGAAAATAAAATTAGGAATTCAATAGAGCTCTTAGAATTACATTATATACAACTGTACAGAGAGTTAACAAACTGTAAGATAGGTCAATAGAAAATTTAGAATGAAACAAAGAGAGGAAAATGATGTAAAACAAAGAAAAGGATGTACATAATATATAGAGTCTAAAAATGTATCATTTGTGTCTCATGAGGAGGGTGAGCAAGGATGGGACAGCTGCAATATTTTAGGACACAATGATCAAGAACTTTCTAAAATTAACAAAGAACCTTAAAGCCTAGGTTCAAGAACTGCTGTGAGTATGAACCAGCGTAAAGACAAAGAAAATCACACCGAGGTACACTGGAGTAGAGTTGCTGCTGAAAAACAAAGACCAAAACAAAAACAAAAACATAAACAAAAACAAAAAAAGTAACTTTGAGGCAATGTAATGAAATCTTTATAGAAAATAAATACTAGCTTATAATTCCTTACCAAATAAAAACATCCTTCAAAAATGAAGATAAATTGAAGACATTTTAAAATGAACAAAGACTGGGACTGTTTTTCACCAGTAGATTCACAACAAAGGGAAAGAAGCTCTTCAAGCAAAAGTATCTGGTTAATCTTTTCATTGAACCAATTCTGGGCTCTATTATCCCCAGCTAGGAAATGTTTATATTCCATCTCAGTAATTTCTGCTCAAGAACTTCAGACAGAGCCAGAAAGACAAGATAGAGAAAGAGGCAAAAAGGCAAAATGGAAGAGGTCCTACAACAAGAAAACAGACAAACCTTAAAAATGGACAAAATATTGGACAACCACTTCACCAAAGAAGATGGCCAAATGTCCAATGAACAAGTGAAAACAGGTTTAACATTGCTATTCATCAGAAAGAAATACAGATTAAAAGGTAAGATATCACCGTATACTTGTATAGCTAAAACATTTTAAAGACAGATGATATCAATCTGACATCGTGTGAATGACGATGCAGAGCAACCTTAACCTCTCAGCTTTTGGCAGGGATGTAAACTGGCAATGGTCACATGGAACACTGGTGGCATCTTCTAAATTTAAATGTAGGTGTACACTGTGACTCAGAGATTTCACTTCTAGGTGTATGTGCAAGAGAAAAAATGTGCTTATGTTCACTGAGCATTCCTCACATGCACAGGCCAACTGATAAAGGAAAAATATCTCTCTACACTCTGTCCATCTGCCAGGCGAACGTCTGTTGCAGTGCAGCTGAGATGGAAGCCAAAGAGTAGTGTTAAGGTAACACAATATGCCTATCCTGGAACAGGATCCAAAACATTTAAGGATACAGATGCATTGTGGTATTGATTGTGGTACACTCCTAGATATTGAGCTTTAGAGGATGTCTTGATGGTCTTAGCCAGAGCTGAGCTTCCTGGACAACTCTAATTGGCCCCAGAAACTTTAAAATCACAATAAAAGGTGCCACACCTTCCAGGAGCTCTATCAACCAGAGAATGCGGAGGACTTTCTCTAGGCCCTCCCAAAACTCGGGATGGTATGGGCCTTTCAGGAAAGGGAGGTCAAGACACAGGGCACTCGACGGGCAATTTTTGATCTTAATTCATTCTCTTCCACATTATTATCTCATCTTAAAGTTTATACTACAGCCGAGGCCACTCACCCTGACAATACATTTCCCCAACAAGCCACTGTAAATCATCTCCACATCTGGCAACGGGGTCCCCAACAAGAGAGTATCCCTCGCTGCAGGTATATACTATGTTTTTCCCAACAGGAAACTTGGTATCTTCACCCTAAACAGAAATAAAGGGAAAGAGTGTGCCTATTTTGCATTACCAAAATGTTTCTTTAGATATACTTGGTCTATAAACCATGCCTTCTCTTAATCATCAAGCAACCAACATTGAAATCGCTGATTTAACAGTTGTTTATAAAAATATCTTTTGTTTATATTCCTAACCAACACTTGTCCCACCATGAACAGAAATAAAGCCATTAATGTCACTGAACTATGGTTTATTGATTGTGCTCAAAATACCAAGCACTGTACTAAGCATTTTACTAAAATTGCTTTAGTACACACTGCCCAAGTGACTTCTTTCCCTTATGCTTTTAGTTTGTTGTCAGATTTTGGAAATGTCCTGGTCATTCAACCCTTCATGGCAAGGTGTTAGGGGTTGTTCACTGGCAATACTGCCTGAGGAACAGACAGATAAGATCACGTCCCAGCAGCATGCTCCCGACAAGCTTCCCCCTGATGACTTTTGGAGGAAGCATGTTAATCTTCTCCCACCTCACCCTGTAGGGAAAGTGCTGCTGGGCTGGGACAGATTCAAGGGCGTGTCATTAGCCTCTAATGCCAGGAGGTGAGCTTTCCTAGTGAACCACAGAGGAACCTGAAGTCTGAGCCCTGAGTCTCCTCCTGGCTCGCAGAGGAGATGTGGGCAATCAGGCCTGTTTGAGATCTCTCTTGGGAGAGGGTTTGCAGCTGGACTGGCTATGCTACAGGCATTAAAACAAGATTCCCTGGTGCCTCCTTCCTCTCCTTGTCAGTCCTGACCCAGCTGGCTCCTTCATGGAAGCTGGTAGGAAACAGAGGCCCAGGTTGATATGGAGGTTTGAAGAAAATGGGGAAGGACACTCAGTCTGCTTTTTGTTCTAGTTGCTGGGCCTTACAAAGAGATTCCTATATGGAAAAGTTGCACTCAGCTGGGTGTGATCTTGGCTCTCCATTAAGAACTGTTCGTAGCAATTTAGAAAAACATAGACTCTCGGGATCTACCCTAAACCTACAGAATGAGAAAAAATGAAAGACAAGGGGCAAGCAGCCACCTCTGTTACTAAGGTCTGGGGTGACTCTGATGTAGCCTGTCCATGGGCTCCTCACAGGCCACCCCAGGCACTAGAGTGGGGATGGCAGCCTCTTGGTTTGCTACAATGTATTCGTCTGCTTGGCCTCACACTCTGAGCATGCGCTGCCGCTGGCAACTTCATGGGCTGTGGTGACTCTAGTGGGACAATATAGTACTAGTAACATTAGGTTCATATCTCTCTCTCTTTCTCTTTCTCCCTCCCTACACACACACACACACACACACACACACAGAGCGCTCTTCCATTTCCCAAAAGTACCTACATTTGGCAAAACTTCAGCAAAACCTCAGTGCATGGATATTCTAAGGCCTGCCATTTGAGAGGCCAACTCATTCATGGAGAAAGTAAGGCTAGCTGCACACAGAAAACCCAGATGAACAACATCTCCTATGCAAGCCAGGAGGAGATGTCACGGGTCTAGGGCCCAAGCCTCATCATAACAGGAGTGAGAAGGGCACAAATTAACACGGTCCCAAAGCCAAGAAAATTCCCTAGAATGACAAGTAGCAGATGGCTCGTGTTCCTTCCTGAACAGGAAAATGGCCCAAATTTTCGGGGGGGTACAATGACCTATAACTCACCAACACTGCCTAAATGTATGAGGGCTCCTGGAATAAACCTAATACTTCATCACAAGCCCCATATTTATGAAAAAAAATTTTTAGATAAAGGCTTCTTTTAATGGCAAGAATAGGGAAAAGTCCTCATTATGAAGAGCTTGTTTACAGATTTCTATTTTAGTGGAAATGGAAATGTTTAGCCACCCTCTGGCATGATTACACCTCTAATTCATTGGGCAGCAGTATTGATTTACCTTACCATAGAAGACATACTGCCTTTGGCAGAATTCTAATCACCTTGGGCCAAAGAATGAAAGTCATGGTCTAAAATCCCCATCACTAAGACCAAGATAATAATAAAATAAGACAATAATAAAATATTGTTAGCACCGTTGTATCATGCAGAAAGACATGGACTACAGAGGAGAGGTAGAACTTGAAGCGAAGAGTATATATAAAGGGAAAATATGTCTCTCTCATAACCAACTTGAACAAATCCGTGGTCCAAGGCGGGGGGTGGTGGGCAGAATTCTGTTGGACTCAAAGACAAAGGAAAGCAATGTGGTTCAAGCAATCTAGAAAGCAAAGGAAACAAAATATAATTAATGTGATAAATTTCCACAGTACAATTAATATTTTACACCATAGAAAATTTATCATTTGCATCTGAAAGGACTCCCTTTGCTGAGCCCTCCTCCCACAGAGCCTGCAAGCTGCTGCCACGTCTGAGACTCCATCAACCTGGCTAACAGCTGTTTGCCCTGCCCTGGAGACCCCCACGGACGCCGCCCCACCCAACTTAGGGGCCCACCCAAGCTGCTTTTCCATATGAATGGTTGATCTTGGTTCGTGCTTCACAATTTCCTAAATCCTCTCAAACAAGCAACAGCAGGCCTCAGTGAGCCCCAGGCCCGGCACTAGCAGCTGGCAGCCTAGATTCACAGCTTGGCTTCTGCTGGGAATCTCCAAGTTTAGCACAAGTAGCAGCCATCTCAGATGGCTTTATAGTTCAGCCCTGGGCAAAACACAGGTAAGGGCTGACCTTGGCCTGTACCACCCAGGTAACCCCAGGGGCCAGTGAACCCAGTGGACAGCTACAGACCACACTGGAGCACCACTGTTACCGAACAAAAGGACCCGTGGGGGTGGTGCCCAGATGCTATTACCGAAACAACACCTCGCTTTCCCGGGACCCCTCGGTTGTGGGTCCTTTGCCCGCCGCCCTTGGAATTATGGCTCTGAATGGCAGAGTTTGGTGAAAAGGAAAGGAACTATTTATTCAAAAGTTATACAGGTTTGATTAATGGCTAAATGTCACCCTTAAACCTCAAAATCCCTTCAAAACAATCACCAGCACACACACCGTCCTGCCTTCCCCCCTTTGCCCAGTTAGACCAGTCAGGCCAGTCAGGGTACCGTCCTTCAGAAGAAAAAGAAGTGCGGGGCTCGGCTAGGAAGGCCTCTCGCGGGTCTCAGCACCATCCACTGCGTCGCCACGATCTCCGGCTCTTAATCCATAACCATGTGGCACCTTCTCCTGGCCCGCTAGCAAGAGTCCTTTCTCCCCTCTTTTGTCACACTGTTCCCCAGAGTCTGTGTCCCTTTGTCTCTCCTGCAGGCCCCTGTCTCTCCTCTTTCTTACTCTCTTACCTTCTGTATTAAGTCTTTTAAACCTTCCAGATTAGCTTTGGTGATATGCCAAATAATCCCCTTTGCAAAGGAGGAACGAAGCTCTCCTGTTATTGACATGCAAACTGATTTCTCAATGGCCCGGCTCAAGGCTCCCAACCCCCATGGCGGCCTGCCCTGGGGTGGGGAATATATTTTCTTGGACACACCAATCTCTGGACCCCGTTACAAATACACTTTTGGGGGGGGCTGGCTGTGCCCCATTATACCACCACCCTGCCCCTGCACAGCTGATCCTCCATGGAGGGTGGAGGTTGGTGATCAGTGGTCACAGGCAATCTTTGCAGCTGACTGGCCTGGGTAAATCCCTCCCATTGATCTACCAACAGCAACCAAGGCTCAACTACAAAGGATGGTGTACTCAGGCAACAGGAAGAGCACACTTCAAGCTTGGGAGATAGGGGTGGCTGGGCCACTGGACCCTACAGGACACGTACTACATTAGGAAACACTACCAAGACAAGAAGTCACAGTAGCTCTACCTAAGACATAGAAACAAACCCAGGTAGGCTGCCAAAATAAGGAGACAATGAAACATTGTCCAAATGTTTTCTGGAGATCAAAACTCCAGAAAAACAGCTAAATGAAATGGAGATAAGCAATCTATCGGATGCAGAGTTCAAAACACTGGTTATAAGGATGCTCAAGGAACTCAGTGAGGACTTCAAAATCTTAAAAAAAAAGAACCCAGTCAGAAACAAGAGATACACTAATTGAAATAAAGAACAATTTACAGGGAAACGACAGTAGAGTGGATTAAGCCAAGAATCAAATCAATGATTTGGAACATAAGGAAGCAAAAAACACCAGTCAGAACAAGAAGAAAAAAGAATCCAAACAAATGAGGATAATGTAAGCAGCCTCTGGGACAACTTCAAGAAGTCCAACATTCACATCACAGTGGTGCCAGAAGAAGAAAAAGAGCAAGAAATTGGAAATCTATTTGAAAAAATAGTGAAAGAAAACTTCCCTAATTTAGCAAAGGAAATAGACATGTAAATCCAGGAAGCACAGAGGGTCCCAAACAAGATGGATACAAAGAGGCCCACTCTAAGACATATCATAATGAAAATGCCAAAGGTTAAAGATAAAGAGAGAATCTTAAAAGCAGCAAGAGAAAAGAAGTTAGTTACCGACAGGGGAGTTCCCATAAAACAGTCAGCTGATTTCTCAAAAAACACTTTGTAGGCAAGAAGGGACTGGCAAGAAATATTCAAAGTCATGAAAAGCAGAGACCTACAGCCAAGATTGCTCTACCTAGCAAAGTTGTCATTTAGAATCAAAGGACAGATAGTGCTTCCCAGCTAAGAAAAAACTAAAGGAGTTCATCGTCACCAAACCATTATACGAAATGTTGAAAGGACTTATTTAAGAAAACAATCAAAACTATTAATGATAAAATGGCAAAAAATACGTATCTATCAACAACTGAATCTAAAAAACAAACTAAGCAAACAAGAAGAACAGAAACAGCCCTGGCTGGAGTGGCTCAGGGGACTGGGTGCCAGTGTACAAATGGAAAGGTCACCAGTTCAATTCCCAGTCAGAGCACATGCCTGGGCTGCAGGCCAGGTCCCCACTTGGGGGCGTGCAGGAGGCAACTGATCGACATATCTCTCTTACACAACAAGGTTTCTCTCCCTCTTTCTTCCTTCCTTCCACTGCCTCTAAAAATAAATATATAAAATCTTAAAAACAAAAAGGAGTCCAAGAAGAACAGAGACAGAATCATGGATATGGAGAACGTTTTGATGGTTGCCGGATGGGAAGGGGGTGTGGAGGAATGGGTGAAGAGGTGAAGGGATTAAGAAATACAAATAGGTAGCTACAGAATAACCATGAGGATGTAGAGTACAATGTAGGAAATGGAGCAGCAAGAACTTATACGCATGACCCATGGACATGAACAATGGTGCGGGGATTGCCTGAGGGAGAGGGGGGTGCTGGGCAGAGGGGACAATGAGGGAAAATCATGACAACTGTAATAGCATAATCAATAACATATATTTTTTAAAAAGGAAAAAAGTTGAAGAGTTTAGCTTTCACTGATAGCTTAAATGACTAATGCATGTGGAAATCTGTTATTCCAAAATTACGAAGCTTTTGAATACAGGCTCCTTTCCTTTATCACCCAATCTTTGCCTCTGGAATTTTGCCCAGAGGGTGGTGGCAGTCAGTGAGGCCCCACTTGCTGTTCAGTGACAATCTCCCCCAAGACATGGACCGGAGGCAGCACCCGGCTCTCACAATCATTCCACCTGCTCCACCTTCCTCGGACAAGAGACACAGATTATGTTACATCATGAAGGACCGAAGAAATAAGGCACCGCGCCTCCAGATTCCCAAGTAGCATGCTTTCTCCAGCTCCATGACCTTCTAGGTATCTGCCTAGAATTTTTTGCCAATCCCTGATTAGAAGAGGTTGGTAGGACGGTACAATTCATCAACTAAGCGTTTCTGAGAGAGCTTTTGCAAGGTCCTGGCCACAGGAAGTGAGTGCCAGACCACTGGGCTAACCGGTCAAGATATTCGCCATCTCAGGTGCCTACCCTGAGACACACATTGTGCTTCCGTCATGGTCAGCGCATTGCAGTGGTGGCAATGAGACCTATGACATTTTTTGCCAGGCTCATGAGTAAAAATTGCATGTTTAACAAGACTTTTCAAAATTAGAAATGATTCAGATTTTTAGATCATTTGCCAAAATTGCGATATACTTCTCACCACGCATAATTATTTCTAGGGATCTAAAATAAATTGCTTAAAGAAATTGGATCCCAAAGGTTACAGGGAGGGAATTTTTGAAGTATGTCATCATATTCAAGTGGAGATTAAAGAATCTCAACTTAAAGGATTGTGGACTTACTGAGAAGACAACTGTGCTTTGAGCAAAAGGGCTAATTTGAACATTAAAGTCCAACTCATGAGGAACTAAAAGTTAGTGGAAGGAATCACAACATGATACTCCTTAATAAAAATTCACTGGCTTTTGTAAAAAAGCTATTAGCCATCTCAAGCATCTGGCCTTCTGGTTTAATCCTAAATAACTAAGTAAGTAAGAAGGAGAGGTGTATCTGAAAATTAACATGATTATTGAATGCTTACCCTGAGCCAGGCATTGGGCTAAGCACTTTACCTGCTTAATCCTTTCTCATTCTAACAATATCCAATTATCGTTGTATCTACTATGAGGATCTTAATGTTAGAGGTAGAGGTGTGGCGAGTAACTTGCCCAGGGTCACACAGTGAAAAAGCCGCTCATCTACTCACTGCCAATGCTGCTGCTCTGCTCTCTGCTCACATCTACGGGGCCAGACTGCCTCCCAGTTCCCCAGGGGTTTGTAACAATATCAGGGAAACTTGGAACAGGAGTGCAAGGTGGCCACGACAGGCCTCCGTCCTCCAACTGACCCCAGAGCTAAAGGGCAAAGCAGTCACTGATAAAAATCGCCATTTAACTTTTAAATCTTTCAGTAGCAGCAATCGCATGGTCCGCGGCGTACTGCAGCAGACAACGCGCCTCGCGGCACTGCCAGCCGTCCTGGTCTCCATTACCTCAGATGCCTCAGCTGCTCGTCTTCCTCCCCACACCGCCTGCTCTCTGACGTTTCTCCGATGCAGGATACCCCACCCCCACTGGGAGGAGGGTTATTGCATTGTCGATGCCTTGTTTTCTTTCCTTCAACACAGGTGCTCCAAGAAGACCAGCAGTTCCAACCTCCATCAACCTTTCCTGTGAGAGAAGAGGTTGGTCAGCAGGTACTTGGAGAGGAAGATGTCAGGATTTCATGCCGAGCTTCCTGCTCAGGTGGTTGCTGGGGGAGAGGACGACCTGGGGACTTAGGGCCTCCAGCGTTCCCTGAGGTCTTCTACAAGGGCCAGGAGGCCTCTGCACAGGGTGGAAAATATCAAGAGTGCATTCACAAACTTCTTGCAATAATATCTGAAACTTGTTTATCAATTTACAACCATTTCAGAGCTCTTTCACATACATTTTATCGTGTATTTACTTCTCACAAGAATGAATCCAGGTGAGCAGGTGGTCAGTCGCCATTCTTACTTGATGGGTGTGGCATCTAACACAAAGTGGTCGAATTCCATGCCCCATGCCCATGGCTGCCAAGAGCTACATCCAGGCTGTAGCCCAGTCTTACGACTGAATACAGATTCTTTTCCTCACCCCACAGTCTCTCAGTAAAGCCAATAAGTTCCTACTGGTAAGCAGGGGTAGGTAGGGTATGAAAAGGTATGGTGTTCTGTGTACTCCCGGCTGCCAACCCGGGGCCGGAACTGTACAAAGAAAGGAAGGGTGCAGGCAGGCGCAACGCTTTTACCTGCTGGCAGCACCCTTCCCCAGTACTACACAGGGCACCTCCTCAGCCCACCCTGGCTACCCTCTACCTCAGGGCTGATGCGTGACTCATGGTTTTTAGTGTTTCCCCCCATCATACATATTCCTTGGGGGAGGCAAGAAGGAACTTGAACCAAATTCTAAGAGCTTAGCTTTACTAGTCATAAACTGATGTCAGAAACCATTCCCCAAAACACTGTTTTCTAGTAATAGATGGGTATGTTTACTGTAGGTTCCTTAGCCATTTCTACTGAACAACCTGTTCCAACCCCCTTCCTCAGTATCCTCCCCCAATACTGATTTGTATAATATTTTCCCATGATCTTCTTTATGCTCTCTTCTATAATTAGAAACTGAGTTAATGAATCAGTCCCTGAGTATATATCAATAGATGGGTAGTGACAGCCAATATATTATGATTGCTATTCCACTCCTTTCCAGCAGGGGGAGCTTCCATTCTTATCAAAAACCTGGAAATCCAAGCCACACAGAAAAGTGTCAGTGGTGGAATTTTAATTTATCAGGACAAGCCCCTTGGGGAGAAGTCTGGAGGCAAGGATGCCTTCCTGATGCTTGTTATTAACGAACCACAATTAAGTCACGCACTTATTCATTTATTAAACATCTATTAATTGACTTCTATAAATCAAGCTCTATGTCAGGCTCTGGAAATAAAGAAAAAAATCAAACAGTCCTGATCATAAGAAATGAGCTTTCTAGAAGAGAGAGACATAAGCACATATAAAAACAAATATACATAAGTTGTCTCATACCTTGCCTACTCATAAAGTAACTTCACAGAGCCCTGTACTAAAGTGCCTAAAGCACCAAGCACAACGCAGAGCATGTAGCAGGTGCTCAACACACATGTGCAAATAATTGATCGATGGGGCAGAATACAAAGTAGAAATGCAGATGCTTCGAGGAGCTTGCCATCGGACAGTTTAGGCAATGCCAACCCTTGCTCCACAGACCTATGTTTCTGCAAAACCCTAACGAGAGGACTTTGGAAGGACAGAAGGTGTTTTAGGCACTGATCTAGTCTAATGGAGGAAGGCGGGTGGTGCAGGCACAGCCAGCCTGGGAATTCAGACAAGGGCGGTGGCCCCGCACCTACGACCAGAAAGCGGAGCAGGGAGGGAGATAATGAACTGAGATGCCCGTGAGACTTCCTCCTCTCCATCCAGCAAGAAGTGGCACCTCAGGGGACCGAGCGGGGAGGGCAGTCCCTTTTCCGCGGGTCCAACACAGCCAGAGAAAACGCAGCGCACTGACCTGCTTCATCCCCTACGAGGACTCCTCGCTCACACGCGGCGCCGAATGTGAACGGCTTGCAGTGGCACCGACACTTGGTCCCGTCCACAGTGGCTAGGCCGCCGTTCCGACAGGGCCGGCAGTGGCAGGGGTCCGACTCGTGCAGGTATTCCTCAAGAGCTTGTCGCAGGTAGAGCCTTTTCACCGAGGCACAGGGTACTTCCTTTACCAGCTCATACAAAGGGGTCAGCTATACAGGTAAAGATGTCACCATCAGAAATCAGGGTTTTAGGCGACCGTATTTTCCCTGTGGCATTGAAGCTCAATCACCGTTAAAACAAAGTCAAAAGCCACTCTTACGTTAATTTCAATTATTTCTTGTTCAAATTTTTTCAAAAGCAATTTACTTTCTTTGCAAGACAAGTTTGGGGAAAATTAGGACCGGCAAGGGAAGACATTTTTTTTTTTTTTTTTTTTGGTATCTTCTGTGCATGCATAATTTCTTTTTAAAAAAGCAACAGGACGTTCATTTTTCTAGTTACTGAAAGATTATTTTGAAGACAATACATTTCCACGCTTGCAGGCGACAGAGAGAAATGCATTCACATTAGAGTAAAGAAAGCACGTGCAATTAAATTTAAAATTAAATATCTTGACTCCAAGAGACTTAACATGTCTCTCGAGTGAAGACCATCAGTCTTCCTCTCTGAAGAAATGTAACACAGGCAGGCACGATGGCTCCGCACTGGGTACGTCCGACCCTCTGAGACCACAGGTGTGTTGACAATCTGCTCTGCCAGGAACAAACAGGCGTTGATTTGTACATTTGCCAATTGCTTGCGTGTAAACCGCTGTCACCCATGGCTGATGTCAGGCTACCTCCATGACGTCCACGAGCACAGCATTAGGAAGAGATGCGCATCGTTGGCTTTGGAGAGAGTCTGCACACCTTGGTGGCGGCACCCAACTGTGACGGATGCGGAGTCGGTCACCTTGCCTTCCGTTGCTGCCCCGGCTCTTCTGAACCAGGTGGCATTGCGCAGCCAGGGAGCTGTGGAACGTCTCTACTTTCTCTCCTCCTTTCCTGTCCAGCTAATGAGCTTGCACAGCCAGCTCTGACAGGTACAGAACTATGTGGAAAAGTGCATATTTGAGAACAGCAAAAGAAAGTTTGCTTTTCCCTAATCGACATTGGAGGATTTTTAAAGGTTTGTACGGGATGTTAACAATGAAAATAGACCACCGTGAACCTTAACGAACGACACTTTCAGATGAGACTTCCTGGGAAAATCCACCGCCACCCCTGTCACCCTTTTCAGGAGGCAGGTGGGAGCAGTACGGTGTTACGCGGGTAACTTGAGAAGTTATTCTAATTTTTGAGTTCATAACATGAGATTAAGTTTCTTAATCTCTTTAAGTCAAGTTTCACCTGGGACTTTGCTTGACCCCCATGGCAGAGAACAGATCGTCGAATCAATTACGCTACTGCACTTGTTTTCAAAATACAAGTTTGTTCCACTGAGGTTGTTATAGTGCAGAACAATGGAAGCATGCCACACACATTTTGCATTTTCTTACATACAACTTGTCCACAGGAAGCACCAGGTGAACACAGAACACTGGACGTACTGGACCAAACCACGTAGGGATACACAAAACACACAAACACGTACCTCCAACATTCATCCAGTTCACTGCCTGTGTGATAAACTACCCTCATCTGCACCTGGTGTTACAACCATCTGTCATTTCTAATTGTTCTCCTACCACTTTACAATAATTCACAAGCTGTAACTGTTCCAACGCCCAACGTGCTTCTGGCCTTTTTATAGGTAGTGTGCCGTATTTATTACAGCATCCGCATTTCTTAACAAGTTAACATGTATCAAACTGTGCTCCTGGGTATGGTTTTGTTTTTATTTTTTCAGTGCCTATCTATTTTTTTTTTTTTTTTTTTTTTTTTTTTTTTTTTTTAGTGAGTGTCACAGATTAAATTTTTGAGCTTGTGTCCCTAACCCCATCTTTCCTGTAAATCCTGTAGTCTTTTTATTGTGCAATTTGGCCTAGCTCTTGATGTTTTAAGAACACACTTGTTGCATTGTCAGAGAACTGACTGTGCCCATAAAACATCCTGAAGCTCTGCCAGGAGCACTGGTTCTAGCCGAATGCACGTGGGCCCGGGAGCCTGCAAGCCACGGCCACAGGAAGAAGGGTGATCCGACAAGCACAGTGAGCCTGAGTGCCTTCCTCTTGGAAGAATCTGTAGCTCCTCTGCATCAGGGAACAGGGAACACACTCAAACTTAGGGCAAAAGCTTAACATGCAAATCTTGTCATTAGTTTCTCTTGGGATTTACAAGACATTTGAACTGAAACATGGACATATAAGATAACAAGGCTTCTGTTTCTTATGATACCATATGCTTTCACGTGCTTGTACCGAACATAAATTGGGGCTCAGAAGAAGCTAATCACAGCCTCTTCTGCTGAAGCCCCTTAATGTGCCCTCCTTGTCCCAGGGCCTGTCACCGTGGCAGCTTCCCCTGCTTCACCCAGAGCGTCTCGTACCTTCTGCTTGATGACTTGGGGAAGCCTAGTCACAGATCCTGCCCAGGAAGAGTATCGCTGTTGGTTTCCGGCGGGATTATCCAACTCCAGGTAGCTCAGGCCGGACACCAGGCCCGGACTCCCCCCTCTGACTGAGGGGGTCCCTCTCAGCACATTGTTCTCATTTGCTACACGAGGAAAAATCAAAGGCAGTCAGTCAGGATGCACAGGATGAGAACAGAAACGTGAAAATCTTATCAAGTGTAAGACATAACCCACCCAATTCTATGATATTCTGGACAAGGCAAAACCATGGAAACAGAAAAAAAGTCAGTGTTTGCCAGCGGTGTGCCGTGGGAGGGATGAATAGGTGAAGCACAGAGGGTTTTTCGGACGGTGAAATGATTCTCCGTGATACTCTACGGTGGATACATGTCTTTATACACCTGTGCAACACCAAGAATGAACACTCTTGTGAACTGTGGGCTTGGGCTGATAATATTGTATCAATGTAGGTCCATCAATTGTGACAAATGCATCACAGTGGCGCTGGGTGCTAATAGAGGGGAGGCTGTGTCTGTGTGGGGACAGGGTGCGCAAGGATTCTCTGAACTTTCTGCTCAATTGTGCTGTACACCTAACACTACTCTAAAGAGTAATGTCTATTAAAGTAAAAAAAAAAAAAAAGAAAGAAAAAGAAAAACAGTCATTACCTGACAGCAGATGATTTTAGGGAAATATTGTTCATATTATTAATGTTCTTAGTGTAATAAGAGTATTATGTTATATCGGAATAATATATCTTGAAGGATACAAGCACATATTTAGGGGTGAAGCATCATGATGTTACTTCTAAATGGTTCAACACAGGTTACAAACATCTTCAATATATAATATTTATACATTGCTAAGTAGTCAATATTATAAATTTTATATATAGATATATAGCAAAATGTCAAAATAATAACTGTTACACAGAGGAGGTGGGTGTGTATATAGGTGTTTATTATTCTGTTCTTTCAACTTTCCTGTATGTTTAAAATTTTTCATAATAAAATGGGAGGCGTTCATTGCATCTGGAAAACTAAAAAATAAGCAAAAAAGCTATTGATTAACAGGCATACAGAAACACATGAAAAGTCTTCTAAAAAGTTCGAATACAAATGGAATCCGTTTTTTCATTATGTGCCTTATAATTTCAGAAATACTTTTATCTCCATTTGTAATTGATTTTTACACTGGCCCTGACCAGAAATTCCTAACTGACAGGTAAAACTTGGGATGACTTTCATTTCCTTTCTTTCAACTAAATTTCAGAAAATTTTCAGAAAGTTTTGCAAATTCAAAAATTACAGTTTTATCATCAGAAATGATTAAAGCCTGACATTTTAAATAAATTGCCTGAGTGCTTCCTCATCTTTGCTGTCAGCTCATTTTTAATATGCACACGGTCACCCTTTTAATGAAGTGTATCGCCAAGTTCAGTCCCTGAGCTCCGTGAGTCAGTCACCTGGAGTGGCCGCAGATACCTGAGCCCCAGCCAAGACCCATGCGACAAGAACCTCGGAGCCAGCAGTTTAGCAGGCTACCCAGGTAGCACCATGCATGCCAAAGTTTGAGAGCCACTGCCTTAACAGAAAGCCCTGTTTATGAACTATAGGTTCTAAAAGGTCAGTTTTTGTGTTTCTTTTCAAGCCCGTAGCCTTGCTGACCACACCCCGGCAAGCTCTGCTGCAGCAGACCTTCCTCCCCGAGACAACCAGCCTGGTGCAAGAGTGAAGAGCCCAGACTGCGAAGCCGGACTTTATGCCCTGGAAGCTCGAGTCTGACGCTCCCTGAAGATGGCCTTGGGCAACCTTGCTGTGCCTCAGCACCCTTGTCTGTAAAATGGGAATGTGAATAACACCTCATCCTTAAGTAGGCAAAGTATAGTGATTAATTTTGTAAATCACTTAAAATTGTGCTGGGCACATAGTGTTCTGTGTTTGTTAAATACAAAATAAAATAAAATCGGTGAACAGCTTCCAGTCGCCCGCCCAGCTGATGACCGAAGTCAACAGCTTCCCGGAGCTTCCACTTGCACCTCTCTCTCCAGGTCAGTGTATTGCCATCTTGTTCAAAACGCGTGCCCCTCCTCTGTCATGTCGGCTGCTTGAGCAGCCACTCTCTCTGGCAAATCCACTGCTGTGTCCCCGTGCTTACAACAATTCCTGGCACGTGCTATGGGCTTCACAAAACATCGGTGAATGAAATGAGTAAATAAACTTGGCGTCGCTGCTCTGCCTCCCTCCACCTTGCAGTCATCTGCCAATACCCCAAGGATCCCCTCTTCTTCAATGAGAAGTTTGGCGCCTGGGTCAGTCTTCACCTTCTCCCCAGTTCCTGCCATCTCCCCAGAACTTACTCTCTAATACTGCTCAGTCCACGGTCTCACATAACACACGGTGGTCCCACTTCTATCCCTACCGTGCTAAGAGTCTCTCCATTTGATGACAATTAAGTGTTAGTTGCCAGAGCCAATGACGGGCCTTCAGTTCTCTTCTTAGTAACCTGCTCTCTTGCATTTCTCTCTGCTGACCTCTCCTCCTTTGCTTTCCATGCTACTGATCTTTTCTGGTTCTTCTCTTATCAGGTTATTCTTCCTCAGTCTTTCTTCCTTCTCTGCAATGTTATCCTTGGGAACTTTCATTGAATCACTCCCTGTATTAAATCGTCCGATGGCACCCCTTGTCACCAGGTCTTACACCTGGAATCTAGACACAGTCTAGGTCAGCTCGCTCTCCTGACACTTCTTCGCTCAAAGATGAGCGCCCCTGGCTCCCCTGCTCCCGACCACCACCACTGCCTCCAATAGGATGCGCCAAAGACTTCAGCCTCACTGAGCATCCGCGTCACAGAGCGAACCTGAACCTTCCCCTGACGGGGACATTGTTCTAGTCTTGCCTGCCAACCATCACCGCAGGGAAGAGAGGTTGCAGACACCGAGGACATACCTGCAGTCTACAGGAGATACCCTGTGAACCTCACTCTGCATGAGCCTCACTGCCTCGACATAGGACAGAGAGATCAGGGGCAGAAACAGCTGAACACTTGAAAAATACAAAATAGGACACCAGCTACAATTTAAAGGACATTGACAACCTGGAATTAACCAAAGAGAGAGGGATGGAGGTGAAGCTTATAATGCATACTGCCCCTTTCTCATTTACCCGAAGCATCTTTTAAGGCCTTTTGCAGATCCTTGCATTGGTGTGAAGAATGTGATGAAATCAGGAAGTTGATATTTTTGGACTCACAGTTCTTCGAATTTATTGAATGAAGACCTGGTGGGAAAAATTAAAAGGTGCTTAATTGTCATATTTGTTGCAGACCTTTGAGACACAGCCAGGTGTGAGCGAGGATACGAGGTTGTCGCCTACTGCTGAGCCAGTCTAACCAAGACTGATAGGACAGGTGCATTTCAAGCACTCTGGAAGAGTCAAGGATCAGAAAAGGGGATGTTTGATTTTCGTTATTAAACAAAGTAATGGTTACTAAAGCGCGCTTTCAACCTGTTGAGCAAATAGATTGCTCAACCCTTCTAATTTTGACCAGAGAGAGGAGACAGGAGTGATTTCTACATGAAACTGTGGAGGGATCAGAAATTAAACACCCCAAGGAGCGCTACCCTTCACTCACGCAGTCAGTCTCTCAAGCATGAAGCAAGTAAGTAAAAGAGGGCATGTGGCGGGCTCCTGGAGACCCCGAAGCTGGGCTTGGGTTCTACAGCTATTAATTCCGAAACGCTACTTCCACAGCCTCCATCTCTCTGCCTTAAACCTCTTTGGTTTCTGATATTTCCTGCCCCTGACTCATAACCTTCGTGTGAGAAAATTACCACTCATTATCGAATGCATTTATTTATTTTTTAAATGAGGATAGAACATAATAAGGTATGGGAATATGCTTTTCTTCTTCTATAATTTCATTAATGATAATAACCTCAGTGTTTCTTAAAGAACAATTGGGGGTCCATATAGGGAGGCGCAAAAGTAGGTTTACAATTGTTCGTAAGGACGATAATACAGTAATTAGTAAATACTAATACAAGAGTCCACTGCGTTTCGCATAGTCACACAGTAAGGCTACTTTCGCCCCACCCTGTGTTTTGTTCCAAGAGATTTTATTATATTTAAATTAAAACATTTAAGAAGAACAGAAACCGCTTCAGGGTAAAATTTTACTAAAAAATGCTTTTACAGAATTAAAAAGCTTAAAAAAATTCTCTCTTTATTTTTAAAAGGCACTAAATTAAAAAAAAAAAATGCTGTGAAACTGAGTTTCGATCAAACCACTTTCTCTGGATTAATTTTCCAGAGGAATAGCACCTGTCATTTCTACAAAAACCTTTGCTTATGCAATTTAATCCAACCAATGAAGTTAGAAAAAGTTCAAATACTACTTAAATGTTATTGTTAAACATTAAACCCAATGGAAAAAATTAGCCAGTGGAAACAGAAAAATTTTGTAGTTTGCGCACAGGACAAAGCTACAAGCCCGCTCCTGAATCTCATGTAAGAAGCCTCCCACTCACTCTAAAACCCGTGATGGAAGCAACTACTATAAGCCTGGGAAATTGCCTTGAACTCTCTCTGGTAAATATAATTAGACAATTTGGAACATTTCCTTATAATCTCCTAACGACAGTTATATCAAGTAGACACAGGAGCTGAATCCTGCAACAGCAATTTTTTAAACCTACTGCTCTAATTTTCCCATCCTATTTTAATAGCAGCTATTCACTAATTATATCTTGTTATAGTAAAGTAAATGAAGTGTGCTACCTAACATTTTTAAATAGCTGCTTTAATGAAATATTTAAACTGTTCTAAAAAAAAAAAAAGAAGGCGGCGGCTTACTCTCCTCCAAGGTTGTAAGGGCATCTTGACTGATCAGGAACACCCTGAAGCGGTGGTTTGGAAGGGAGGAAGGGGCCGGGATACCAGCTTAAGGACAAAGGTCACAGTGGGGATCAATGCTAAGGTACAAAACTCGCCCGCTGTAAGGAAGGCGGCCCATAAATTTAAGCTGTAGTTACAAGGATTATGCAGCAAGCAAACTTGTGATATCCAGAGCAGATTTTTTAAAGGAATGTGAGTGGTAAAGAACAGAGGTGAATACAATGTTTTTTTAAAATCATCTTGATTTCTGCAATAACAGTCAATTCCTCATTGGTTTTCCCTAGAAATATCATGTAATCGGAAAAATGGAAAAGGTTATAAAGTATTGTAAAAATCCAGTCAACATCCTCTGGAGATAACCAATACTCATAATGGTTTAACTCACATTTCAGGGCACTGTCTAAAAGAAAAGGAAGGCTTTTCTTAAAGCCTGTATGATTCTGAATTAGAGTATAATGGATTCTTATAGTTTGGGATACCTCTGCAATTTAATTTCTATTTGTCTTTATTTTAAAGCTCTCAAGTTTAAGTTAACTGGATGTTTTTCCCCCATTACAATCCCTACAATGTTTTTATATAACATTTCTAAAAAATACCCTACCCATTTGCTTCATTTTTTCTGTGTCCACATAAAATAGAAGTTGGTAGTCTCCTCCTAAGGATCCAGACTGCAGAAAATGTGTCCCATAGTTGTCAATTAATTTTCGGTAGGCGCTGTAGTCATACAAAGAGGGGAGGTAGGAGAGTTCCCTCCAGAACGGCTCGGCGAGTTGTAAAAATTCTGGGTTGTTGTTGGTGAACTGAGCCACTTCCACAGTGTTCTTGATAACCAACAATTGATAACTCTATGGGAAGAGGAAAGAGGAAAGGGAGTCTTAGGTCTCAGTGAAAAGGTCATGGAGATATGTCCTGTCCAAGGTTTTCATGAACAGCCATCTTGAACCCAGGCTACATGGATTTTAATTTTGATGCATGAGAAGGTGTATTCTGGGCCCACTCACTTGAAGCAAACTAAGTAATTTTTTGAATCCCAAGTAGGAATAATATCTGCGGGATGTCATGGTAATTTCTTCTATGGAACACCGTGACCAAGTTGGTATGTCCTCCTCAACCACAAAGGGAGAACCAACTTCATTAACTGCAAAATAATTTCACAAATAAGTATATAAAATAATATGTCCCTAGGGCCCACATCTTGGTGAGGACTTATAGGTAGGATGACTATATAATTAGCTCCCATACTGAAGTATCAACAAGTTAAGCCATTTTATAACGAGGTCTTTTAATTACTTCTTAAGCATTTTTCATAATGTTCAAGAATGATCTACCTTATGCCAAATATTCACTATGTGAACAATATGAATATGATAAATATTTCTATAGCTCATGTTTCTGCAGCTTCTTAGTCATGAAACAAACAAAATATCCTTTTATACCTCCCCTGTGTGATGTATTAATCAAGTTACTGACTTCAAGAATGAGATAAAGTATGCAGATTGTGAATGAGGATCTGCCTGAAATTGTTTCAGCAATAAGTGTCTATCAATTAGTACAATTCTTGTCAACTGTTCAGGTTGCCCAAGATGAAAGTTTTAAAATTTCAAAACGATATAGTATCTTAAGTCTTTCAATTTCCTTATATAAAACTTTGGCATCTCAAAAGTAATATTTTTAAGTTTTTCTAGTATTAACATTCAGGAAGCACATGTTAATTGGATTTTTAAAATTATAACACTGAAAATAGTAGCATCGGTAATCATGAATGAGAAATTTAGGAAAGTTTTAACTAGAAGATTTGAAAGTAAGTTTTATTTTTAGGTTTTCAAATAAGTACAAACACTTTAATGAAAAAATGAAAGTATAAGTTAATATTTCAAAGAGAATTAACAAGACAAGATTATACCTTATAAATATATTATGTTATCTCTTTGAAGATACTATTGCCCTCTTTCAAAAATGAAAGCTGATCTTTTTGGTAAACATTTTTTTGTTAATGTTATAAATACTTAAACCAGTAAAATATGGAAAAGTTAACTAATATTTCATACTAACCTTTTTATTCTGGATTTCATTGCACCCTTGTCCATAACTGAATGAAGTAGATGACGATGAAGACAATCCAAAAAATGAACTTTTCATTTTAGATGATGAATATCTTGTTGATGTTGTCTTTAAATAAGACCAGCTACTGTTGTAAAATTCATAATTAAAATCATTATTTATTTTCACCTGTAAAGGAAACAAAAAGTTTTGCTATAAGCAAATTAAGGCCCTGGACATAATCAAGAATCTTTCGTCATAGATCCTTTAATATGGATACTTTCTTCATACAGTCTCCAAGAGGCAAAGTTCTTCACTGGCACAAAACAACAGTGTCTGTCATTAAGACCAAGCCTGTATGAGTATGAGGAATAGGGTTCATTCTGCAATTACTCTTTGTTAAACAGGAAACATGGTAACAATAATGGCAATTCCAAGTGACACAAAATACGTCTGTGTACAAGCATCTTCCATTTTCCTTTAACGTTAACTTTTAGGCCAGAAGTGAGAAAATTAAGAAGGCTACACTAAAAAAACACAAACAACAACAACAACAACAAAAACACCACTACAAAGCATTTGGTTTTTGACCTTTTTTTTTTTTCCTAATAAAGAGGAACAGAGATGCAAATATGTTACATGAAGCAATCAAATTATTTGGATTTTGTTTTGGAATGTCCTATGTGATCCAGTAATAGATTTAACTTTCCAATTCTGTTATGATTTATGCAAGTAAGCCTCTTAGCGGCTTAGTTTTCAGCATCTCCTTACTCTCATGTACTCTACACATAATCTCAAAAATCATCTTTTTTCAAGGTAGTATGATCTTAAATTTTCTTTAATTAATACCTTCTTCCTTCCAGCTTAGATTCTGGATTCCCTCTGAAACCACAAATTCAAACATCCTGAACTCTGACATTGTTTTCTCTTTTAACCCGCATTTGTTATTTCTCTATCTGTATTCAGCTTAGTAGAGACAAGTTCATCAATTCTTTTCCTTTCATCAATTCTTCTTATCAGAACCTTCACTTTTTCACTTCCTTCCTGTTGCAGTTACAACTTCAACCATTCTCTTGCCAGTGAACTTAACTTCCTTGCCTAGATGTGTCTGACATCACATTTGTCTGGCAAACACCCAACCCTGGTACAATGCTTTCAGGCAAACTGCTTAGGCCCAAACTGCTATAGACAAATCACCCAACCATAGATCGGCACCACTATCAGTCCATGCATGATTTCCAGCCTCAGTGGAGCGCTCAACACATTCTAGCAGTCCTATATTTCTCTATTTAATTTTCTCTCTCTCTCCCGTTCTCTACAGTATCTGCTTCAGAAGTTCTGTAATAACCTCGGTCCTCCAGTCTTAGAGCCACTTCCTTTCCTCTAAGAAGATGAACTTAACCTCTTTCTTTACAAACACTCCTATGATCAGACAGAGTCCTCTTAAACTCCTGGCTAACCAAACCACAGAGTTACTAGCATTTCTTTTCCTTTCCTCCCAAAGTGTCCCTCCTCCTGTCTAAAGCTGACTTCTGTGTCTCATCTCCTCCCACCTCTTCAAAGGACATATTTAATTGATCAGTTATTCCCTTTCCTACGTCAACTTTTCTTTCTCCGCTGTCTCCTTCCTATCACCACCTACACATGCTCCCGCCCCACCAAAGCACAGTGCCCTGCAAGGACTCTGGAGTCACATATGCTCCCGAGTTCAGGCGCCATGCTTGTCGCCTGTTACCGCTATGATCGGGGCTACGTTATTCGGCATTGCTGTCCCTCGGTTTCTCCATCTGTAAAATAGAGATAACAGGACCTACTTTCTTCAGTTATTATAAAGAAAAAAAAATCGATGTAAAGCACTTAAAATCGTGCTTCATATATAAATGCTCCTCAGTGCACATATTTTTATTGTTTAAATTATTGCTGGTTAACAAGCTAGGTTTAGAAATCTCAGACATCTAAACTCAGTGGAGTTTAAACAGAGGAAGCAGAAGATGAAGTAATTAAGCAGTAGTTAAAATTGCTTAGAGAATGTTTTTGTCATTCCTTTGATATGCATATAGGATTTCTCTTCAAAAATAAAATGAAATATATTCAAGACCAAATACAAAGAGATCCAGGAAGTTATTTCTTTTCTCCACCCTAATCTTCTACTCGCAATTCATTATGTGCGGAGAATCAGTACAAGCCTTTCGGCGGTCTCCCAGGACAAACTAAGCTGACTGACCCCTTCCCAAGGGGAGCATGGAGCTGGAATGTGCTTATGTTTCAAAGGCTTCCTTGTGGTACGAAAAACAAGAGGAAACAGAAAATATGCCTCAGCAAAGTAAGCGGCTGCCTCTGGGTTTACCCTGAATAAACTCTGATGCTGATAACCAAGACCGAGATTCTAGCAGAGGTTTACTGATTCTGCTGTATGGTAAATATTTACTAATATTTACATTCCAACAAACCAAAAGTTACCTCCCGCCTCACAGAGAGCGGAATCCCCAGTGGCCCGAGGTCAATCTCCGAAATCGGGAGGACGTTCAGCAGCCCACACCCCACCTGCGTTTCGTGCTTTAGTGACTGGCCCACGGCCAGTTGCTTCCCCCTCCCATCCTCCGGGGCTGGATCCTCAGAACATCTATATTCTTCATTCAATAACAGCCTATAATTTCCTTCCACTGTGACAAACACCTACAAATTCAGTGACTGGAAAGGTGTTTAGATGTCAAGCCAAAAACCAAGCCGTGCTGAGAAAAACAGACACCAGGATTGTGCTGTTCCTAAATCATTCCTCTTCTTCAGCAACTGCAGACTCCGGCACGGCTGCCTTCCAGCTATGTCAGACAGTCTCTTCCTTACTACACTCTTCATTCTGTAACTTTCTAAATTACACCCTAATACATACATTTTTTTCATTTCTCCTTCTTATAATTATGAAAAAAATTATCAACACACCCTCCTAGGAGTAGAAAGAGAAAAATTTTTTCTACATATCCCTATCTCACATTCTCCTTTCTGGCCACAGGTTAAATTTGAATACATACTATTCACCATGTAGAATTTAGAACTGAAATGCAATTAAATACAATGCATTGGGAGAGTAAAATGTAATAGAAAAATAAAGGGCTGTCAAGTCTCACAGGCTGGATCCAAACTCTCCTACTTCATAATTTTGTGACTCGGGATAAGCCAGCTAAAGTCCTCTCTCTGAGCCTCAATTTCTACATACATAAAATTGTAAAATATCACTTGTCTTCCAAGGATATTGTGAGGATCAAACCAACACAAATTGACAAAAATAGTGCAGGTGCCACAAGAGATACTCAAATTGATAACTACAATTATTTTTCACATCAGCTTCACTTTTCATTTTCATGATGCAGTAGCTCTTAAATGTAATTTGTTCTGTTGTGAGTTGGAGGATGGTGAGACTGCTATTCATAATCAAAGCTGCTTTCTGGAGAAGGTTAATTTTGATAAACGAGGGCCCTTCTGTCTGAACATCCTAATAATTTTGGTTTACAAATTTCGGAGTAATAGGTAGGAAGCACTGAATGAGGAATCGGGGGCATTCTGGGAAGGAGGGAGGAAAGCACTAAGGGAGGAGACCTTGGAAGAGGATAGCAAGGAAGCGGCGAAGAAGGGAAGCACCTGTGGACCCGCTCCGTGGATGCTGCCCACTAAGGTGTCTGACAAACAGTGCCTCCAGGCCAAAATAAAAGCAATCTCCTCAGTTGGAAGGAAGCAAGGGAGGGAGAGAGGGATGGAGGAAGAGAGGGAAGGAGGAAGGAAAAGAAAATGAAAGGGAAGAATAGGAAAGGAAAGGAGAGAGAAAGAAGAAGGAAGGAGAGAAGGAAGGAAGGGGGGAGGGAGAGAGGGAAAGAAAAAGAAAGGAGAGGAGGAAGGAAAAAAGGAAGGAAGAAAGAAAAGAGCTAAAACAGGATGAGACCAGAAATTCATTTAGTTGAGCTTGTGGAAGGACAAATGTTTTAAGACAGAGGATGTCAACTGTTTTTGCTGAATGCGTTTGCACAACTGCAACAGAAAATTTTCTCCTCTGTATTACCTGTAAGTCGTCAGGAACGTCCTCCAAAGCCCTAATTGTTTTTGGGTCAGTAGATTTTGTGCTGAAATCAAGGAACAAGATGAATTTTGGTGTGTCTGACAGAAAGGGCACGTGAAAAGCAGAAGCCTGGAGCCAGAGGAGAATCTGACTGAAGCCACCAGAGAAAGGTAAAAGTCAGGCAACACGGACAACATCTGCCAGGGTACGAAGCGTAGCCCACTCTTCCACACTGCTGGTGGGGTTATATGTTGGTACATCCATGTTGGAAACTTTACCTAGTAAAGTATGTCATAGACCAGGCAGCAACTCGAGTTCCAGGACTGCCCTGGAGAAATTCTCCCTCATTTGCATGGCACTCGTGCACAAGAATGTTCAAGGCATTTTCATAAGAAACTACTGGGAACAACGATAAAAATGCCATCTATATCAGCGTGCATAAAATTCAACACCAGGATTTGGAGTGAAAAAAAAAATCCATAGAAAACTACATACTATATGAGTTATTTATATAAATGGCCAAAAACAGTCAAAACCAAATTACAAATTTTTATTTAGAGACAAAGGCATAGGGGATACACATGTACAGAAAAACAAGGAAATGATTAATACAAAATATAAGATAATGGTTGCCTGGGGAGTTGGGTTGGTGGGAAATTGATCAGAGAGGGGTAAATGAGAACCTTTAAGTCACTGGCAATATTGTAATTCTTCGGGTGGGTGATGGGCACATATGGGTATTTGTCTTACTAGTTTTTTTCCAACTGCATGTACATGTTGTTCACACTCTTTTGTATATATGAGATATTTTTCAAGTTAAAAATAAAAGTGTTTTTAAGGGACACTGTGGCAGTTCTAAGAAAATGATCATACCAGGCACAGCTGAGGCCCCAAGTGTTGACACCCATGGAGGGTCAGACCATGAGGTCCCAGGCCCATATGGAGAAGAGGCAAAATGAAAATTAGGCAAAACAGTATTTCAGCTTACATGGCACAAGCGGAACGTACCATTGCCCTGTACTCCAGAGTTACATAATAGGTGTTCTTTTTAAGTCCATATAAAACATTTATAAGAATGACCACATAGTAGGCACAGTAATTTCTCCACAAATACCAAAAAAAAATGAATATCATGTCAATAATGATCTCTGGTAGCGACTCCCCAGTTAGAAATAAGTAAAACTGATGTCAGTAAGTACCTGGAATGCATAGGAGAGGAGGTTTGAGCTCAGTCTGTAGTAATCTCTTCCGTCACCACTGAACACCTTTTTGCACTCACCACCGAAACTCTTCGTGTTGATGACTCTGCTCCTGAACTGGCCGGTGAGGGCATTGTAACTATTGTTTTGTGGTTTTTAAAGGAAGAAAAGACAGCAAACATCAGAAATAGCACTTGCTGCAAAAGGCATCATCAGAGAACTCTAAACATGCGTCACAGCTAAGCTTGTCGTAGAGTGCAAATGAAGGGAACAGCATCCCAGTGCACACCGTTCATTATCCAGCCTCCCCTGGGTGGTGTAGGAGCTAAAACTAACATCTGGGAAAAGCCAACATCTTTTCAGTGTAAGAACAGCACGCAGCTCTTTTGTATCTATGGCAGCAAATGGCTTTAAATTGAATCTGTGGATAAAACCAATGCAATTAAGATTACTTGAAGAGAGAGAGAGAGAGAGAGAGCTCTCTACAACAAATTTCAACTGATTGTCTCTTAGCAGGTTGGCTGGTAGACTCTTCAGAGTAATTTTATAATTTCTCTGTGAATGAATTTTAAAATATCATGGAAAAAAAATTACATCTATCATTCTATAATAGATTATTTTAAAGCCATGAAATCTTAACTTGGGTCTCTGAGCCTTAAAAATTCTTCAGAATTCTTGTAGTCCCAACTTTACCTGTAAATGAAATTTCCCAGATAGTTTGAGCAATTACTTTTCAGCCTGAATATCCCAACACACGTCTCCCTTTTCTCTGCTCTCATGTTGCTGTCTTCATTCCCTTGACTAGACCTACTTCACTGAATCAACGCTCTCTCTTTCTCCCTCTCTGTCTTCCCCTCCCGCCCTCCTTCCCTCCCACAGTGTGACCAACTATTCGGGTTTTTCCAAGTTCTGTGATGTTTCCCTGGATGCAGGACTTTCAGTGTTAAGGCAAGGACAGTCCAGGGACAATTGGTCACTAGATATTTTACTGCATATATAAATATAAATATATATATATTTATATCTCAGATATACAGATAGGAATTACAAAGTTGTTTCAGGATGTAGCAAAGAGCTCTGAGCCGAAGACTTGACTATCGGATGATTCGCTATTAGATTTCCATAAAAAAAATAAATAAAACAAAACAAAATGAAGAATTATAACTCAAGAATGTGCACAGGAGGTTGCCCAGCACCTTACCCATTTCCAGTAAGTTCTAAGTTGGGAGGAGGTTTATCGAGGTCGCAGGAAAGCCTGGTTTCTACATTCTCACACTTGTCTTCATCAGCACTGTCTTCTTCACAGTCGGAATCACCATTGCAAACCAAGGACTTGCTGATGCACTGACCTACCCACGAGGAAAGCCGCCACACAAAAATAAAAGAGGGAAGAAAGGAAACACCACATGGGATCAGAAAGGTTTGCCTCTACCCTCAGCACCACACTGGCCTGCTAATGTGAATTTGACCTAAATCTTCAGCATGTCCAGGGGGAAACTGATGATTATTCTGGTCCTCGTTTTGCAACACACAAAACTTATTCTCACCTTGGCTGGACACAAAATTGAAAATAAAACCCAAATTCCCACTCTAGGCCTTCCGCCATGAGCATCAGGCAGTGTCTGAATCCTCCCTAATCATACAACACAAACCACTGGGAAGGTAGAGTAACCTCCTGCTCTTCAACTACTGGCTCCTTTTCCAGAACCACTGACAAGTCCTGCTCTTCTTGGTGATGTGAATGTGTTAGCTTTGAGAGCACGGGAACTGAGCCAAGGGTTAAAACTCAACATTTCTTTAGCACCTACTCTGTGTGATACAGTCTTCTGGGTGTGGGGATTCAAATATGAATAAAGTTGGTATTTGTCAGGCTTTTAATATACTTGACAATGTAACAGGAAAAACTAGGAAGGCATAGACCATTACAATTCGACAACATCATTGTCATAGTAGACATAAGCCCAGGGTTCTGGGGGAGTGCTGGAGCCACAAACAATCCAGCCCCTACCTACCTCTCCAGTATCATTTCCAGACATCCTGCTAGCTCCTGATGCCCTCCTCATATTGGATCACTTACATGAATAAAGGTCAGGCCTTCTGTCATCGCCATTGACCTTGCACCTACATTGTCTCAGCTGAGGTGGGTTTTCTCTACCTATTACCCACTTGTCTTCAAGAATCAAATTACACATGATACCCTCTCTGAAACCATCCCTATCCCATAGGCTACAATGCATGTCTTTCCTCTTGTCCTCAGAGTAGGCATTGTATACACTGTGTTGATAGTACAGCGTGCACTCCATGGTACTGTCACTCAGTCCAATGCAGCAAACATTTGTTGAGAGTCAACTATGCACCAGGCACTCCAGAAACAAAAATCAAATAAAATGCAGGGTGGGGCAAACGTATCTTTACAGTTGTTTGTATGGATAATACAATGATTAATAAAGAATAATACAAGCATAAACTCTGTATTTTGCATACTCACAATTGTAAACTTACTTTTGCCCCACCCTGTATTTCTTCAAAGAGTTCAGAGTCTACCAGAAGACATCCAGGCCAACAAATATTGCAGAATACAAATGGCACAATGTACATAGGGAACACAGAAAAGTGTTTTGTGAATTAGCTTTATCAGTTAAAAGTTTAGGGAAGGCTTCCCAAAAGAGGCATTACTTGATTTGTGTTTTGAAAGTAAAATAAGAGTTTGACAGATATTGTTGAGGAACACTCCTAATACAGAGTTTATTTATGTAGTATTCTGTTCATAAAACTTTAATTTTTTTAAGAAGTTATATGTTTCATTTAACATAAATCCACAACCCAACCCTTATCAGTATATCTGGAATATAAGAAGAGTAATAAATGTCTGCTAAAAGTTGTTGAGTTAATCTGATTGCACAAATGCACCATAGACAATAAATCAAATAATGGAAAAATTATACTTCAGTCACCCATGCATAGGGGTGACCTGTATTGCTCCTTGATTAGTTATTACAGCTGCTTTTCTTATAAACATAATAATTTTGGTAGTAACATCATTTTTGCCTAATCTCAGTGCTCATACCAGATCGCCACCAAAAATCCAATGTCAAGAACTGTTTGGGTCTGTCAGTAGTCATATTTTCTTTCAAAAGGCAAAGGATATCCCTGCTTTTATTACCATATGCTTCCCCTTGCATTTGAAAGAATAATAGTTGAGTGTGTCATTGTTATACCAATATAAATGATAACTGACATTTGGGGGAAATTAACTTATAGGTCAATATAAAGTCAGTAAAATTCAACAAATATATACTGAGCAAGTTAAACAAATAACATTTGAGTTTACACTGTGCATGCTAAACTGATGGAAAACAAATACCTGAAAAACACCGGAACCGCTCTCCACATCCATCTTCTACTGGACATCCTTGCGTAGGTTCACATGCTTGTGTTTGAAAAGCACTTCCGGCACAAGGCTGGCCGCCATACTGCCCATAAACCTCAATCATCCGCCTGCGAGTCTAAACAAAAAACAGATTCTCTTATCTGAGAAATAAAATCTGAGAAAATTTCATGCAATGGGAGAAGCAATGTTTGGGAAATGGTCTGGTGTCCTATAGAAGTTAAACCTCTAAACCAATGAACCCACAGACCCATTTATCCTTGAGTCCAGTGACATTGGGATTATTATTATAGAATATACATATATATTTAAAATATATATATACATATATATACATAAATATATACATATATATTTACTCTCGGAGTGAGTACTAAAAAAGTATATTAGTGAATCTTTAAGAATGTAACCTGAAAGTGTCAGCTGGGTAAACATATATGCAAATGAAATGCAAATAGGATGATGAATTTTTGCCAAAGCTATGTACCAGAAGCTAATTAGAAAAGTGACAATGAATTTGGCTGGAGAGAGGGTAATGGTATTGGGAAGGGGGTTGAGATGAAGTGGCATTATGGAAAACTTTAGAAAAGTGGTGACAATTGATTTGAGATAAACATTAACCCTTTTTCAGGAAGGCAAGACAAGGGTAAGGCAAAAGAATCCGGAGAGAAATATGTTAATAGAACTCTAAGTAGTCCAAAGGTGAAGCTACATCTACAATGAAATTTTATGAGACGATCAAAATCATTGACTTCTGAAATGAGAGATATGTCAAAAGCAAACCTCTGTGGGGAAAAGTAGGAGGAAAATTGAGGAAATCATCAAACCAAGTGAGAAACAACAAGTCATCCTAAAATGCACTAATCACAACTAAGACATGTATCCAATGCTTAAACAAAGGAAAGACCTACAAAATCTTTTTCCTCCCCAAAGGCAATCAAAGGTACATCTTTTATGCTCAGCTCATCCCCATTAATAAAAATGAACTAAATCTGAGATTCCAGAGAATTTAAACCTTGAGCAAAGACCAACAGAGAAGGCGAGATATGTTGAATCTCTTCATCCATCTTAAACTGGGTTAGAAGTAGGGATTCCCCGGGATAAAGGATCACAGTCATGTGATTTGAACCCAGAGCAGCTTCATATCAGCCTGAGCCTTGCTCTGGCATTTTTCAGGGGGGGAATGGAACTCAGGACCAGTTTCTTGATAAGTTTTTAGTTTCTGTATTTAATGGATGAAGACATCTCTCACGTATGGCTTGTAATCTGTCATTCTCTGAAGTTCCAAAGCACAGGTTGTGTTGTTTGTATAAATAATGTTTTGCTCACTATCTACCAGGACCAGCTTGGTGACTTTATTCTCAGCATCTCTATCTCAGTTGTCAGATTCTGACCCTATGACCCCTTTTCCATTTTCACTTGCCTCTTTCTAGATGAAAATTTTGACTTTATAAACTAGGGATGTAGTATCCATTGCATGATGATCTTTGCCCAAAGGAAAACATTTGCTACTATGAAAAATATTTTCTATCTACTTCTATTTAGTGTTCTTTCTTAAATTACAAAAATGTTTTCTGCGGTTAGTTTTGTTTGATGTTTACCTTGTTGTTCATGTACTCTTCGGCTTACAATCAGAGTTGTCATCTATTACCTTTGTCGGGAGACAAATTCTGCATTTATGTAACTTTGTGAATACCACTCATGAAGGTATTAAGTACGTGTTTGATGAAGATGATGATTGTGATGATGCTTCAAAATTATCTTCTGTAATATGTTTCTGCTGTTCTAATAATTAATAAATTTTAAATACACATTGTATCACCTCTAAAATATTTTACAAATATCAAATAATGTTGTGCACCTGAAACTATTATAATGTTACTCACCAATTATATTTCTATAAAAAATATTTAAACATTCAAATGTTCAAGAATCTTTAAAACAGACACTATCGTTTTGGAATTTATCCTAATAAAATTATCAGAAAAGAGAATATACTACTATGCATAAAAATGTTTGTTAAAGTTTTTTTATATTAACCAGAAATGGAAATAATTTAAATCTCAAACAATAGGTAGAAAATAAGTTTGGTGTGTTTGTATAAAGGAATCTAATACAGCTGTTAATATCCATGCTGTAGTATGTTAGGTTAAAACAGTAGAGTACAAAACTATGATCAAATAATCCTATTTTTTAAAATCATAAACTCACAAAGAAAATAACATGAGTGAAATAAATACAAAAATGCTGGTACATTGGTTCCTTCTCAATGGTGGAATTATAAGTAGTGCTTTATTTATTTATACTTTTCTGATTTTTCTCCAATGAATAATTTATAACAAGAGAAAAAGCAGGCATTTTTAGAAGTGCTCTATAATCTCCAGACAAGGTCTGATATTTTATTTGTATTACATAAGAATCAAACTTTAAAACATAGCAAAATGGTTGACTTTCCATGGTCATTCACTATTTGTCAGGTAAAACAAAGCAGTACTTTTGCTACTCGTTAGTGTTTATTTCAAGTAAGAAGAAAAGTTGAGGCTGCCGCCTCCTGGAAAGAGAGAAAGCAGGGGAGGGGACCACGTGGCCAGCGCCAAGCCCGCCTGCAGCTCGGCTCTGACCCAAGCTGGGCCCAGAGCTGCGCCCAGACCAGTGCCTGCGCCAGTGTTAGTCACCTCCACCAGAGGCGAGGACTGGAGTGGGCTCTAGGTATGTAAGGGAGCCCAGAACGGTGTGTCACAGCCGGCCAAAAGGGAGTTTCGGACCAGTGCAATCAGCAGAGACGTTGATACTGCTGCCAAATGCATTGATGCAGGTGCTGTGAGAGTAGGAGTGGCTGGTTCTGGCACTGCTACTGAACAGTCTTGGCAGCCTTACCATTGGTTGTGCCAGAAACCCTTGGCTGAAGCAACAGCTCTTCTCATGTGCCATCCTGGGATTTGCCTTGTCTGAAGCTATGGGTCTCTTTTGTTTACAGTTGCTTTCTCTAAGTTGTTTGCCACGTAACAGGCATTACTGCTTGGACCCTGGCTGGGTAGGTCAACTGGTGAGAACTCATCCCCATTCACCAAGGTTGTAGGTTCTATTCCAGGTCAGGGCACATGTGAAAAATCAACCAATGAATGCTTAAATAGGAGGAACAACAAATTGATGTTCCTCTCTCTCTCTTTCTCTCTCTCTAAAATCAACAAAACTGGTTAAAAATTACTGCTGAAATATTGACATTCATAGTAATTATTAATGTAATTCTATGTACCTTACTGTGACTCCAAACACCGTAGTGTTGATGTCATGCAAATATGTGTTATTTTCAAAGTGATTTCATTAAAGATGAAAACTTTAAAAAAAGGGAAAAAGTTGAGCCCAGTAAACATGAAACAGATTTGGAATTGCCTATTAATTTCATTTCATTCTATTCTTATTTCCCTAATAGCTCAAGAGTTAGTGAGCGCTTATAATTTTCATCTTATGTAGAGTTCTAGGCTCAAACGTAAGATTTAGAAAAGTCCTGTGAGGAAAAATTACAATCCAAAAATTACTTTATTGCAATATTAATTATTATACAAGTTATACTTCTTTCCCTTTAAAATTACTTATTATAATTTCAAGGCGCAAAAAAATTGCATTCAAAAGTTAATGCCAGCCTTTCTATACCTAAGCTATTTCAGCATATATGTAATAAATACAAATTTTCTGCACGGTCCTACCTGAGACTTTGTACAACCATTGCATTCTGACCAAGGGCCGAAGGAACCCCACTGGCAATTGACTGGATTGGAGGCACTGTCCGGATGTCATAATGCAGGGAGAAAGGGAAGAGAGCGGGGACACAAACAATAGTCAGGAGAGCCAGAAACAGTCAAATTCAGTCACAGATTGCTTCACAATTCTTTTCCTAAGAAAAACCAAAAGTACCCAAAATATGTTTTAAAAATACGTAAAGGGGACTCACTATTTTGGAGATCAATGTTTATTAAACATTTATAATGTACCAGGCACTATTTAGACTCTAGAGTTTTCGACATGTTAAAAGAGATAGGTCACTAACCACTGAGAGAGAGGGGAACAAAGAAACAAATGCATAAACAAATAATCATGATACAATAATACAGCCATAATTCATAACACAGTATATCTCATTTGAAAGATTTCATAACAATTGTGGACAGTGTGATGTTTAAGGACATATAGGTAAGGGAGTGTCCAGAGTTGGGAGGTATAAGGGAGAACATATAGGAGGAAGATATTATGGCCTTCAAAAGATTCTGGACAATGAATGGAAGAGTTATTCAGAAGCTCTGACATGGGAGACCAGGATTTCTAAGTGAGGAATGGGATACTAAAAACTGGCAAAGGGTAAATGGACAGGAATTTATTTTTAAATGCTCCCTTGTTCATTTAGGTTGCTTCTTAAGCACATACCCATACAGAGGAAATTCAAGCTTAAATAATTCCACCCCCCAAAATAATATCCATGTGGAAAACGGGAAGTTGATGCTCTTGCAAGGCTAAACTCCGGCTGTGTCATGGCTTAGACCTAAGAAGTTAAGGCAGCCTCGCCTAAAGGCACATTGGCAAGGGGGAGAGGCGGGGAGGCTCCTGACTTCTGGATTTCAAACACATTTCTAGCCTTGGAAACATCTCACGTTAAGGTGATCTGTGCCTATCTCAGGCGGTCATGTGACCTTAGAGTAAGGAGTCCCATTCTGCAGTCTGTGTGTCTGGGTGCTTCTGTGGAGCCAGCCTTGCTGACGTGGCGCCACTGATCCCAATGCCTTGGAATCATTGACCCTTAAAGAATCCAAACTTGCTGTTCTCCTGTTTTGGGTCGCAGGGACAGCTGCAGCCTGAACACCGAGGCTCAGGGTGGGACACGGCCTTGGCCTGAACTTCCCTGTGCTCTCACAGCTCCTTGTGCGGGCCCCTCGTGGAGAGAGCCCTTAGCACATTTGTCCCGAAATCACCCGTTTCTACGTCTGAATCACCCAGCAGACTCAGCGCTGGCTCGGGCCTCCTCACGTCCCCAGTCACTGGCACAGAACATGACACAAATTCGGATAGTTTGGTCACGTGAACTAACCTGTTCCGGTCCCACCAAACTGACTGCGAAAGCAAAGTGAGGCCATAGGTAAATGATGCTGCTTTGTTCCAGGTCTCAAGAGCCAATAACACTAGTTTCTTTTTAAAAACTTTCAACATTTAAAATCCAAAGAATGTTTTGCAGAGACTGCATGTAAAGGTCAAATTCTGCTCTAAGCTGTATAGCACATGTGTGCCCCTGAGATGCAGGTAAAACCGTGCGACTGGGACAAGCAGAAAACCTCGAGGTGGTTTTCATCTTCAGTTTTCTTCCTTACAGCAAATAAATAAAGTAAGAATAAGAATAAAACAAGCTTTTGCTTGTTGAAGAGATAAACGTGCTTAGGCTGCAAATGCAAGAAATCAGGCCATGCTAAAGGATTTCCTCAAAACAAACAAACAAAACTTTTAATGATTTCCACACACAATCCAAAAAAGACTCACCTTGAGAAAACTGAGAACTCTCCTATAAATCCCATCAAGATGAATAAACTTATTGCCTGGGGAAACAAAAGCATTATTTTAGTTTGCGTTTCTTTAATGAGTTGAAGGCAAATTCTTCGTACAAGTCAAGATTTGTAGTTTGGGGATATAATGCGTGAAAGGACCACGGAGAAGGCTTGTCTTTTAAGTTCCCATTTTAAATAAGCGTTTAATATAATTCTGTTAAGCTCACCTCCTGCGATTCATTTCTGTAAGAACAACTAAGAGCTGGGCGATGCCATGAACAAATTTAAAACTCTCACTGGAGTTAAATTGTCATAAGCATTTCATTAGGGTCCCGTGATCTTTGAATTCCTTTCTCCACTGTCCATCTCTCTCACTTCAACACCCATGAGGGCACCCAGAGAGAAATGTCTGGAAGAGCAGTGCCAAGAGCTGAAGAGGCGAAGGGGAAACAAACTTCATCAATGAAGAAGCGGAAGCTGAGATTCGTCCCTGGCCAGAGGGGCGGTGATGTTCCTCACACTCCTGACCAGTCTTTGAAAAACCTCCGAGGCCTTTGATCCTCATCTTTACCTGATAACACCAACTAAATATTGTGTGTAAAGTGTCACTACCGGTACATTTTGTTTGAGAAATCAAATGTGTATTGAGAACAAACCTAAAAAGAAATATAACACAAGATAATAGTTTATTTCCGGTTGTGAAATTATAGGTGATTTCTATTATCTTACTGTTACTTTTAAGTATCTTCCAACTTTATCTGACAACTGAAGGTGTAGGGAATACAGTTCAAATCTTTACTGAAGATGCTTTAAGCATATCAAATGCATTCAATTCATAACCCAGTATAACCATCTTTAAAATCATCTCAACCTCTCATAACAACAGGCTGATGTTCTTTCTCTTCTTCCCCAAACTCTTTTCTGTCAATGCTGCTGGGGGGTGGCTTCCCAACATTTTTCCCAGCACCTTCTACTCAGCCCCCAAGACCACCTGTCCTGATATTAGGTATCTTCCTTCAGTTATAAAATCCTTCTTGCCTCTATTCTGATCGGCACAACTGAGGAGCTGTGGGCAATATGGAGATGTGTAAATAAGGGGGTAGGCTGGGACACTTCCTGAGTTTTCAACAAGCATGGGAAGCATAGAATGGAAAGCAACACCTTTTAAAGGCTTTTTATTCCTAATTATAAACTACATTTTTTTTTTCTTTTCTCAGTATGTCTCTGTGCTCTCAATTTTCTACCCCTGGGAAAGCCTGGTTCATAGCTTTATGAGTCACTCCCAGGCATTAAGAAATTTTCAGAAAATATAAATTCTAGAACAACTTAATAGTCAAATTTAAACTGATATTATCATCCGATTTTAGATTTCTCTCCTATTCCCAGTTCCTAGATGCTTATAACAGGAGATGAGTATTCTTCCTGTTTCTCTTCCCCGCCCACCCCAAGCTGCCTCTAACTTCAAAGTCAGAGCAGCAGCAGTAAAAAAGAAAAGAGCCCCCCCCCGAAAAGTTTTATAATTATTAAATTTACTGCGGTCACGTTGCTTGACACATTCAGCAGGAGTCTGGTGATGGTAAATCAGGGTGCGTTGGATGTTTGAATGCCAATTCTTTACCTCTCTCAGAGTTTTTGTGGTTCTTTGGATGCCCCGGCGACCAACCAGGGATCTACAACCATTCTTCTCTGGTATAAATGATTCCCCTTCTTGCCTATCACTCCTGACTCTCATCAGTGCTGCTTCCTGGGGTCCTTCCCGTACCGGTGCCACCCGCGGGCATCGCTCTACCCAGCAGACAGCCTCTTGGGCAGAGCCCCTGACAACACAAACATCCATGTGTGGCCCATGGGATGCTGCAACGCACTCTTGTTCTCTCAAATGCTCGCTGTTTGGGATGCAACTGATACCACTGTGTTGATTTGTTCTGCTCCAGGCAGGCCAGTCAACCAGCCTACGCCGCTAGATCTTCTCAAAGGTGAGGAGGGTGTCATTCTCTACATCCTTCATACTTGACGGGACACAATCTCACATACCTTTGAGGGTGGAGATGGCCAAGGGACACTGGACAGATTTAGGGCTACTCTTTCTGTAAGATTGTATTGATGTCCAATATTTCATGTTTGGGGTAAATAATAAAATAGTAACCTCTGTAGTATACACCAGGTTTCAATACCCATTTTTTTTAAACAGGAAAAAATCCAATTTAGATCATTAGCCTTTCCTAATTGATGTCTTGTTCAATACATTTTTTTTAATATAAAGCACTATACAAATGAAGAAGTTAGGTTTTCAAATCAGTTTACTTACATCTTTATTAGAAAGAAACATCAGTTTGCAACACTTCTAACAATAAAGAAATGCACAAAGGTACAATAATGTGACTGAGGACTCCGCAGCCATTCGAAGGCTTGTATAGATGCCAATGGCAGGAGAACATGTTCATGACATAATGGGTAGAAAGATCCAGCTCCAGTTAGATAGCAATTTAATAAAGCGTATTTTGTACATATTCATATAAAAGTCTGAAAGAAGTGGATTAAAATGGTAATAGTGTTTCCCACTAGGTGGAGAAATAATAGACATTATCTTCTTTTTCAACTTCTTTTTCCCAGTAAGGTAGTGTTGTAGTTTGGGAAAGAAGACACTGTTTTTTAAAGGCATTTTTTCTCGACGCCAACACAGCCTCACTGAGCAAAGACAGCCGATACGGTCAGATCAGCTCTGGGCGTAGAGAGCAAGCGGAGAGGCCCTGGCCTGAGCAGCGCCCGTCCCCATCCCGGGCCCACGAGGATCAGGCCTGAGGGTCCAAACTCTGGGCTCAGCTCCCTCATCTCCGTCCAGGGAGGAGATCGTAAAGGCTGGGCCACAGCCAGACCAAAGGGAAGCCCTTTTTGCGCTGAAGTCCTTCTGAAACACTTCAGGCCCCAGTTACCTCCTAACCAACGGCTACAGAAAGACCCAGTGGGGTTCTGGGACCACCTCTCTGAATTCAGTTCACATGACGGTGCGGACAAGACAAAAGCAAACTCCCCCTTAAAAGGTCAGACACGGAAATCATCTTTGGTGGTGTCTTCATAGCCCTTCTTTGTAGCGTATCACAAAAATATTCCCTTCAGGTTTCATGTAAAAAAATATGAATATGTACTTTCAAATACAGAACTTTGCATACCACTTGTAGGGAAGTGATTACTTTATTATCATGGCAGAATGACACCATAATAATCAATGATCGTGGACAAATTTTTAAGAACAAAACAATTATTAAGATGTCTTATTATGAAATAAATAAGGAAATTGGTTGATGGCTAATGCAAATATTAGGAGAAGACCTATTTATTAGCTAGAGGACCCTAAGAAAGGTCATCTCAGAAAGGTCTCTTTCTGAGGCAACAAATGTCCTAAAATTTTAAATAAAAATACAAAACAGTAACAAAAAAATTAGATTATACCATAATTCTAACTTTGGAGGGTTACTTGGTATTCTAGCATCATAACATTAGACAAATAAACTTTGCGATTTGTTTAATGTTTAATCATTTAATTCCATGCCTGAGTGATCCAACACCCATCCCTCAGTCCTCCTCCAGCCCCGTCGGTAACTGGACATAGATTCAGTGTCACAAATGGACAGCATAGCAACCGCAAAGGCAGCCTAGCAGCTGACAGGAGTGAGACTTTGTTGTTTCAGTGTTCTATTGCAAAACTTTTAAAGTTGAAATACTGAGGTTTTCAATAATAAAACTACAGTAGAAATTTCAAGTTATTTTTGCATCCCAGAAGTAGAGTCTGAGAGTGATTTCTGCCTTTGGGCCTCTCTTGGCTGAGTAGTAATTTTTTTTTTTTTTTTTAATCATCTGGCCATGCTGCATTGGGCCCTGTGTATGTGCTAGACCGTCAGCTTCAGTCCAGCTGCCTGCACCTTCTACTGTCACGCTCCTGACTTCTGAAGTTCCAGGTCTCCGAATTCTCTTTTTTTAATAAAGCTCTCATTAAGTCAGATCACAGGGGCTCGTTGCTTGGCTCCCCGTCAAACACACAAAAATACACCGGAGGAAATTTTTCCCTAGGAAGTAACAGTAGTACTATTGCATTTCTTAATGGCTTTCTCCAGTCTTTCATAAACACTGTCCCCCGTTTCTGACTCTCAGACCGCCAAACCAATCATTTAACTGCAGGACAAGAAAAAGGAATTCACTTTGGCTAAACTGTTCAATATATTTAAGGATTTTAAAAACCACCTTCATCTTCCCTATTTCCCATGTCCTCTCCTTTTTTTGTTCTTCCCATTAAGCCTTACTCTCACTTGCTATAGCTCTGTTTACAAAAGGAAGGAAACAATTCTCTCACCTCCATGCTGGGGAAAACCTTCAGGGAGAGACAGAGGATGGAAACTTCTGCTCTGAGTGTGCCTGGCGAGTTCCCAGCGGCTGGCCGAGCCTGCCCTCCGGGTCTCCCTCCCTGCTCGGCCGGGCCGCGCCCGGCCCTCTTATGTAGAGCGAGGGCTCGGAGGCTCCGCTCCCGCCCCAGCCAGATTCCCCGGGGACAGGGCCCGCCCGCCCGGCCCTGTGATCAGTCTGCGCCTTGAAGCCGAGGCTTCCCACCAACCCACACAGGCCTGACCCCCAGCCAGCGGGGGGCCGTTCGGATGTGTCGTTTTGAGGAAACATCTGTAAACCAAGAAAGAGAGAATGTTCTCAGCGCAGCGTCTAAGTGATTCTCAACCAAAGGAGACTGTGGGTGAGATGAGGAATAAGCCTCATCCTGTTTCAATCTACCAAACTAAGCAAACGTTTACATGACTTTTTAAAAGGGTGTTAAATGCCGGATTTAGAGATTAAACACTTTGTAGCAGAAAAGATCTAAATGCAGTCTGTCACTCAAAATGTAAATGGAACATTCTGGAGTGGAAGCTTCCCCGCCCCCCAAAAAATATGGCCTAAATTAATATAGGACCCATACCCATCCTCCATGCTGACTTTCATAGGATGATCAGAAAGAACATCTTCTTTTTTTTTTTTTTTTTTTGCAAATATATTAAAAGTCATCGCTAGTTTTTCCAAGAACTTCCTTCCTTAATCCTTTGATAGCCACATCCCTGTGTTGGCAAATTCCTACCATGGTCACCAGCCATGTGGACCTTCTCTTCCTCATTGTCGCCTTGCCTTCCTCGGCCAGGTCCTCATTTTTCATGGCTTTGCCTTACGCTAGCAGCTCTCCAACATCACTCTCACCGATTTCATAAAACGCTGCGTGTCTGATAAGATCTTCCAGGCTTTGTATGCAGCTGAGCTACAGTTTCTTTGCGTGGGTTGGCTAACCCTTCTGACACTTGCTGTAGGGCAGGCAGTGCGAGGAGGAGAGACCTCAGTGCCAGGTGGGAGAAGACATCCAACATGTAGCTGGGAATGTAAATGCCTTCAGGAAGAACTGTCGTGGAGAGGGATGCAGGGGAAGCCACAGGCATGAGGGAACATAGCTGACGTCTCGGGGGACTGATCACAGTGACGTACAAAACCACAAGGGTGCTCGGACTCGAGGAGCAAGAAGACGGAGAAAAGCCAGGAAGGAGAGTGGGAGAGGGCACAGAGGGGAAGGGGAAGGAACACAGCGCGTGTCAAGCCCCCCGGGGCGAACCTCAGGGAGAGATGTGGCGGCAGTGGCAGCACCGCACGGGGCTCAGGGAGAGAGGGCGAGTGCCCACGGAGGCCACCGCACCCGTGGCGGAAGCCCGTGCCTGAACTGAGGGCGGAGTCTCCCCACGCATTTTCTCCTCTGTGCCCTCAGGCACCGCAGAACCGTTGATTTGGAGGTGCGGTAGGTGTTAAGAGCTTGTGTAGATTCCGGAGCAGTTTCTCCGCAGCTGAGTTGTTTCCTGACCGTGGGGCCTGGTCCCCCGCTGTGGGTGTCGGGTGAGAGCAGCGGCTGGGCTGTGCACCGAGGACACTCAACAGCTTCCCGCAGAAGCCCAGAACGCCCTCCCCAGTCGAGACCATCAAAAATGCGTCCGGACACTGCCAGAAGCCCCGAGGAGCACTGGTGTGGTGTCCGTCTCCTCCCCGCCAAGGCCCAGCCTTAGAGTCACAAGCACAGTACACACAGTTTAATTATAAATTAAACGTTTTCAAAGTTCTACAAATTAAACGCATTGGCAAACTAAATGTTCTGGAAGTTTGACACCAAGTAATACTTCTTTTTAACTTTTTTCAAACCAGAGTTTCCTAAATTCATGTGACCGTGACCACAGAACTTGCATTTCTAACAACCCTCCAAAACGGGTACATGGAACGTGCTTCGGCAAGTGGTGTCTGAGCTAAGCCGAAAGGGCGGGGGAAGCAGATCTCCGCCAGGCTGGGGAAGGGTCCTCAGGAGCCCAGCCCTTTCCCCATCGCCTGCTACAACACACCCGCTTTTCCCAGTTAGCCCTCCCTTCCCTTGGTAGCACCCCAAAAGTTGTTAACATCCTCAAATCCTAATAGACTATTAAACCACTGATGATATCAAGAAGCTGTTCTGGTCCACCTAGGGGAGATATTTGAAAACATCCATTTCGTTTACTAGCGATTTAGTTTTGTTCTGTATTGTTCCAACAGATTCCGCTGAATCTGGAGGCACAGGAGAAAGGAACCCAACTGGGGGAAAGATAAAGCCTCTCTCTCTCTCCCATCGATACCGGTAAGGTCAGAATTGAAATCTGCCAGGGGCTGGAGCAAAGAAGCAACAGCGCCCCCTATGGCAGGCGTGCTCAGTCCCTGGAGTAAAAGAAGAACCTTAGGCTCTGCAGCTCAACCACTTGGAAGCGGTAAGAAGCAGTGAATCTTCTGAGGCTGCCAGTCAAGCGCTTGTTAAGCTAATAAATACTCCAGGTGGTGTCTCTTTCTACATTAAAGTGTCACTGTATGAATAGTGAAAAATGACTATTAGGCCTTCTCCAAATCATTACTTCAGCAAAATAATGATTATTAAATGTTTTATCATTACATCTAAAAAGATTCTGCCCACCTCTGCTGATAGCACTGCATTAAATACTGTAAGTGGTGCATTAGTTTAAAGTGAGGTCACTAATTAGTAGCCTCTGTTGGCATCCAGTCCTTCATATGAAAGTTGTTCAAGGTTTAAGTGGAGTAAGAGATATTTACAGGGCTTCACACTCCTCTTTCAGACAGAGGTCATTGTGCCTGATAACACCACACATAATTTCCCCCCAACCCCCAACCTCTCACCCCGGCAAAGGATCCAGTTACCATCAGGGGGAGGTAAGACTGGTTTGTTGTTACGGTTTTCAATGGTGGCAGGCACTTGCTAAATTTAGGAGAAGGCCCAATTTGTTTGGGTTTCTAACTGCTATCTGGCATTTCCGTTATCTGCAATGCACATAGTAGCAGCAGCCTGTAAGTCCAAGATACCTTTCATTTGGTTCACATTTGAATGAAATCAAACAGCTCTGAGAAGGAAGGCTTCTCAGAAATGCAAAGAGTTCGCTGGTTCCTGCAGAGGAAGGGTGCATATCAACAGACAAGGCCGTTTATTTATTCTACACTTTAAAACTTGTGCCTACAAAGACAGCTGGGTTTGTCTGGGGCTTTCTTTGTTTTTGTTTTTCAGATCAAGAGTTCAGATTATTGTAGCCCTGAAATAAAATCTAATTGGTCTCAGATAATGTCAATCTGTTCCAAAATTTTAGGCATTTCCTCCTCAAACTCCCTCTAGTTTGATATCAGATTCATCAGTACATTCTCCATGGGCCTTGAAAAAATAAAGAATAAGTAGTAGAAAGAAGTAGAATCATGAATTGTACAAACCCTTCAAATGCTTGTGAAAAAATCTTGGAAACAAGTGAAGAACAGTCACAAACACATAACTAGAAACTTCTTAAAAAAAGGGACTTTTCTGAAGTCAGTAAAAGGTACGGATTTATGTTTCACTAGTAGAAAAACGTACTCCAAAGGCAGAAAGTCTGGGTTCACATCTTCAGCAAGTTGCTTAGGTACTTTGATCCTCTCTCTTCCTTATCTAAAAATTGGACATAATATTATCTAACTCATCGAGTGTTAGAGTAAATGAATCCAAGTAAAGCAGTTAGCATTATGCCGGGAATATGGTGAGTTTAGTTCAATAAAATGTGAGTTATTGTACAAAAGATTAGAAACAACCCAAATATGCATGAGTCGTGCATGGGTGAAAGTATACAATTGAATGGAGTATTATAGAGTTATAAAAAATTTAAGTTCTCTATGCATTGATATGGAAAGATTTACAAAATACACTGTTAAGAAGAAAAAAGAAAAAAATGACAGTATAACTTAGGGGTTCAAAGGAGGAAGGATAAGGAGAATATAAATTCGTATTTGTTTATATTTTCATGAAGGAAGTCTGGAGGATACCCAAGAAACTACTAAAATTATAACTGGACTGGGCATCATGTGAGAAGGGGACTGGGTGAAAAGGTGGACTCAGGATAGACAGGAAAAGAGACAGGACGAAGACTTTTTACCTTATAGTAATGGTTTATATTTGTAATACATTAATGAACACATTACCTATTCAAAAATAAAATTTTGAATCCCCTATTTTCATTTTGTTAGCTGCTATTATTGTATCCTTCAGAGTGCGCTATAATAAGCATCCTAAAGATTCTCTGGCCTTTGTTTGCTTCTTCACTCATCCATTCATTTGACGGAACTAGGTTATACTGTGAGCATATGCGTTGCATTAATAGATCTTGCTGAAGGGCTTCATGGACACCAGGCCCAAAAGGATGGCCTGGGGCCAAGGCAAACCTAGCGAATCAAAGGTCTCCACTTCAGCGACTGCTGGTACAGGCCTTAGATTTTTTTTCAAGTGGCAACGTTTTAAATGCACGCTCTTTCAGAGTGAGACTTTGAGTAAAGTACACTGATCATATGTGTTTAAATATACATGAAGATGTATTAAGTTACCCATACTCAAAGAGATTAGTTTCACTGACTTCTTGCTCTTTCTCTTTTTCCCCCCCAAGATTTTATTTATTTATTTTTAGAGAGGGGAAGGGAGGGAGAAAGAGAGGGTGAGAACATCAGTGTGTGAGAGATACATTGATCGGCTATCTCTCGCACGCCCTCCACTGGGGACCTGGCCCGCAACCCAGGCACGTGCCCTGACTGGGAATTGAACCAGCGGCCCTTCGGTTCTCAGGCTGGTGCTCAGTCCTCTGAGCCACACCAGCCAGGGCTTCTTACTCTTTCTTAGGCTTCTGTTAGTGCATAGGCCGGCTTCCTGGGAGAAAATGCGGCCTGCCGGAAAACGCATTAGACAAATCTTGTCTCGAATCCGGGCTTAACCATTTACTATCTGTGTTATTCTCTTAAGCCTCAAATTTCTTACTTAAAAACAATGAGGTAGGAGAGGGTAAAGGGGAGATAAACAGTGACCAAGAAGGCTTGACCTGGGGTGGTGAACACACAACGCAGTGTACAAATGATGTG